CCCCCGAATTCGTCCCAACGTTGGACCCAATTAGATCACGTCGCTACCAGCCAAAGATGGAGGGGCTCGATAAAAGACTGTCGCTCATTCTGGGGCACATGTTTAGACTCAGATTATGCTCTAGTGCGAGCTCGTATCTGTCTGCGTCTTACTGGACGTAGGAAAGACACTGCAGGGAAGCCCTTAAGGGCCCTACCTAATGGTAGGCAAGCTAAGAATATATTTCAGGAACAAGTGGAAAAACAGTTAGGCAGACATATAATTTGTGCCCACCCCGAGGCAGTGTGGAATGACATCCGAAAAGCTGTGGAAACAGCAGTGATATCTGCTAGTACGGCAGACCATAAGGTTTGAGAGAAACAATGGATCTCGGCAGCATCTACTGCACTGATAGATGCTCGAAAACTCATCCCATCTGGCTCTGAACATAACGAAGAGCGGAGTCGGCTTAAGCGCAGGCTAATAAGAAACGTACGCAATGATCGTGAACAGTGGTGGGTAGCGAAAGCAAGAGAGATGGAAAAGGCAGCGGCAATAGGTAACAGTAGACAGCTATTCAGACTCGTTAAAGAAACCGGTATTAGGAACCCAAGTATCAGTGAAACCATCTCAGATAAAGATGGGGATATCATTCATTCTCAATCCAGGAGATTGGATCGATGGGCAGAACACTTTTGGAACCAGTTCAACTGGCCTTCAGCCACACTTCAGTTACCCACGATCCCCAGTCGTCCTGAATGGAAAATTGAGGTAAGTCCTCCAACCCTCTGCGAGGTTGAAAAAGCTATAGGAAATCTAAAGCGATGGAGAGCGGCAGGTTCTGACAGGTTTACCCTTGAGATTTTTAAGGATGGCGGTCCGGTACTAGCAGCAAGATTGACTGAGGTCTTAGGTAGAATCTGGGAACTAGACGTAATTCTATCTGACTGGTCCCAATTACTGATTGTGCCAGTCTATAAGAAAGGACAAAAGTCCTCTTGTGACAATCACAGAGGGATCAGTTTGACTAATATAGTGTCTAAAATATTAGCTTCAATAATACTTCGACGCCTAACCAAAGCTCGTGAAGAGCAGACTAGAGAAAACCAGGCTGGTTTTCGACCTGGACGTGGTTGCATAGACCAGATATTCACTCTACGTCAGGTCCTACAACATAGACACACATTCAGACGTTCCACAATAGTAGTATTACTTGACCTTAAGGCGGCATTTGACTCCGTTGATCGTGAGGTTCTATGGCAGTGCTTGTCACTGAAAGGAGTACCAAAGAAGTACACTAACCTCATAAAGGCTCTTTACTCGAGCACAACTGGTCGAGTTAGAGCCTATGGCGAACTGTCATCAGAACTGGTTACCTCAAGTGGTGTTCGTCAGGGCTGTCCACTCTCTGCTTTCTTGTTTAAATTTGTCGTTGACATGCTTTTAGAGATAACACTTTCATCATCTCAATCTCCTGGAGTTGAACTTTTACCAGGAGGCTCACTTGTTGACTTAGAATACGCCGACGACATAGTTTTATTTGGTGAAGACGCTGACAAAATGCAGTCTTCTGACCACTATAAGCAACTATGCAGGCATGTTCGGGATGCGATTCTCTCCCTCGAAGTGCAAAATGTTACTTCAGGATTGGGTTGCATCGGCACCTGAACTAATGATAGGGAGTGAAGTAGTTGAGCGTGTAGACCGCTTCACTTATCTTGGGAGTCTCATCAGCCCTTGTGGTCTGGTGTGTGACGAAATCTCAGCACGGATACAGAAGGCTCGTCTAGCTTTCGCCAACTTGCGTCGTTTATGGCGTAGGCAAGACATCCGTCTAGCAACAAAAGGACGGGTTTACTGTGCAGCAGTACGTTCCGTTCTACTTTATGGCAGTGAAACATGGCCGATAAGAGTAGAGGACATTCGTAGGCTACTAGTATTCGATCATAGATGTCTTCGAAGCATTGCTCGTATATCCTGGGACCACCGGGTAAGTAATGCAGTTGTTAGGAAACGGGTACTAGGTAATGATGGCAAATCGATTGATGAAGTGGTGAAACTTCACCAGTTGAGATGGCTGGGACATATGTTACGTATGCCCAACCACCGACTGCCCCGACGTGCAATGTTTTATGGTGCAGGAGTAGGTTGGAAGAAAGCTAGGAGCGGCCAGACCAAAACCTGGCACAAATCAATGAAGTCACTGACAAGTAGACTAAGCCATGTTGGTAGGTGTAGACTATCTGGTTGGGATCCGCGAGATGATAGCAACCGATGGTTAGATACCTTGAATGACAAGACTCAAAAACGTTTGCAATGGCGTAGGTGCATCCACTCTTTGTGTTCTACCAAATTCTAACCTTTTGAATTCATGTCCCTACCCTTTTTCTCTTTCCAAATTTATTTCACTGTATTATACTCCTTCAATAGCATCTTCAAACCCTAATCTTTCGGATTACTGCTTATACTCTTACTACTTCTACCACTATAGGATTTGAATCGACAACTTCATCTCTGTGCTAATATGGTATGGCAACTCGAACTGATGTACGTACGTACGAAGTTCTACGTTGTGACTGACTGATTGATCCTAAAAATGCCACAGTTTACCTCACGAGTATCCATCTCCGACGGTAGGGCCTACCAAATTACCGAATTAACGCATCAAAAACACCACAAAAAGGCCGTGTGTGTGACCGGCCTCGAACAGTTGTAACTTCGGTTCTGTGGTCACGCTTTCAGGTTGCTGAGATTACTACCAATCCGTTCCCTTTTTCGGATGAACCCAAAAGAAATATTTTTCTAGTGTGGACAACCGTCCTACACCTCTAATATCACTCGAGATCACCTCTCCCATAGTCGGTCTCCAATTTTACTACCAAATATTACCTTCACACTATCAGCCCTCATCATTAGTCTTTGACTTTTTCAACATATGCCACCGATGCAGACGATTTGAGTTCAGGGGATGCTATTTCTAGTTATTTGAAATAGAGCTCTGAACTGCATGTCGGAGAATTAAATGTTCTAAGTTTGTCAAATTTCCCGATAGGCTTCCTTAACTACAACTCTAGAATCCTGTGTCAACAAAGTATGTTGTATCTCCGAAACACAGATATAAGATCTAGGTGTGGTCATTTACTTGACCTCATCAAGTCAATATGAAGAACGGGTGCTTCTTGCCTTCCATGTAACTGGGGTCTCGACTTCCACTTCTTGTGACCTCGCTGGTGTAAGTATAGCACTAATTTCAAAAGTAGTACAGGCGCTCCGGAACTGGATTTCAGTAGCCAGTCGCTTATACGTTGTCCAACCACATACACAAGTAACAACACAGAAAGATAGGATAGCTGTTGTCTTTTCGTCATCTCTCCGATTGCTCCAACCGACTACAGTTCAGATGAAGTAAAGCTTTTTGATCTACAAAAATCCGAACGCTGAGATGTGACTGTAACTCGAGAATTTAACGTCCAAGTTGGTCGGATATGTCAAATATCACAGAATAGTATTCACTAAAATACAAAGTTACCTAAATATCAAAAACTCCTGGTGCTTGAAAATCAACAGAAAGGTATCCATACTACAGCGAATCGAAATTAGGACACTTTTAGTTATAGGTTTTGATACATTAAATTGATTTCGGAGTAACTCAATTTTTATTTCTTACTTTTTAACCAAGTGATCGCGACACTTGATTTACAATTGTTTTCAGTGAATAATAGTTAACGATATGGTCTAGTAACATACTATGGAGGGAAAGTAGCAGTTAGCACCTAGGTTTTAGGATGACAGTATGCTTTGTTTAACGTCTTAACTACTTGAGTTTAAATAGTTTATGTTGATATGAAACAATGGGGACTAAAAACGACGAAAACATGTATTAGCGGACCAAGTTATAGACTCGCGTATGAACTAATTAAATAAAACACAACTGATAAAAACCTGGAGATAGAGAGCTCTGTACTGTCATTTTGATTAATTTTGATAACTGAAGTGTGATTTCGTGATCTAAGCACTAAACTTTTAACCTGAGTGTTGCACTTTAGAGTCTAGGTCCATCTAATAAAATTTTGCCAACGGTGGAATGTTGTCAGTCCGTAAATATAGTACAGTTCAAGGCTGATCACGAAAATTAACAGCTGATCGCTTGGAAATCTGGCCAATAACTTAGTTAACGGACAGAATCACCTGGTTTCGCAGAATATTTTATTACTTTTGCAGGGATTTTCTGAAGCTGAAATCTGGGGGGTTTTCAACAAAACTTTAAGTTGTTTCGAGGGGATTTCGGGTATTCTGCAAATCTCCCTCCAGACTTCAAAAAAAACTACGAACTTTCATGACCGCGGAAAGCCCTGAAACTCTCCAGAATCCGGAGACTGGGTGAACCGCCACACCAAAACAGTGACGCTGCAATTTACGGACGACCTTTAGGCGACGCTAGAGTGGCCTTCAGGGTGTCCGCTTAATAACTAGGACCAAATGATGCCCATAAATCATTATGAGGGAAAAGAATTATGATTTGAAGTAGATATTAAAGGTAAGGAATTAGATCAAGGGCTTTACATCACGAACTGAGATCAGCTAAAATGCCAGGACGCCATCTAATCGGGTGGACCAGAGAATTTATAGCCAAAATCCGAGACCTGTTATTTTATACCTGATTGGTTCCATAGATTAAAGTTCTGCCAACAAACCTTCTGTTTTTTTGACAAGTTTGAAGTGCCTATTTGCAGACAATGCTTGACCCAAACTATAAATCTCTGTGCGGAAACAACTCCCAGCACGGAACAGTTATCAATGATATGATCTAATTTCCCTAGTTTGTGGAAACCTTTGTCCATTTTGGGAAAATTTCAAGGGGGCCGCAATGGAAAACTTTGGAAGGTATTAAGGGAATGGCGCAAAGAACCAAAAGTTTTCCAGGTCTTAGGAAATCCCGAAAATTCCCCAGTTTCTATTAATTATGGGGACTGGGGGTCTACAAAGTATTACTAAAATGTAATTAAACATTGGGAACTAACCGTAGATATATCTTGCTCAACATTCTGTAGTTGGCTGAGGATAAACGACCTTTCATCAAGCAGACATCGCATTTCAGTCTCATATTGAACTAGTCTAATCGATTCTTCCTCCATGAAGTTAGTTGCGTTGTATATATCCCCTAGAGTCTTCAAAAGTAACTCCGAGCTTTCACTGAAGATCATATAATAAACTGAGCTTCTCATACTTTAAAGCCCCAATCGATTGATAATCTCTCAGGATGCCTTTTTTCACCATTCTTTAAACACCAGTATTTGACAGTATGACCCCTAAATCCAAAAATTCCCGTAAAATGGTTAGCGTAGAGAAACAAAATTTCCGACGTCTTGGTGACAAACCAGTTCAAGCAACTTAGGGAACCCATTAGTTTTTATTAATTTTCTTAAATTCAAACATTACTGCTTACTTGATTACAACTTCTGACCAAATTTTTAAACAAATAAGGATTAGGACTGTAGTCCGTTGACAACTAATTTCGTATTGTCCTAAGAACATCGACTATTCCTTCCGCAACATAGAAGTCAACTTATTCGAGTAAGATAAGTTCCATTCTTGTTGGTATTTCTTAATAATTGCAAAAGAGTTATCGCTCGAGTTTAATAGGTACATTGCCCCTGGTATGCATACCACACCAACAACCAATAAAGGGGACATAAAGGCGAAAAAAAGGGGGAAAGCACCCGAAAGCGTAACTAAGGGGAAAATGCCGATTTTTCGCCTGCACGTCGGTTATTTAAGGGAAATGTCAATTTTTCCCCCTTTCTTCGTGAATTTGGGGGAAATTTGTAGACAACGTGTCCACTAGGACACATTCAGTCAGTATGCAAAACTACTGCTCACTTTGCTTCAAGTATTACTAAATCTTGTAACTTAGATCCCAATAATTCGGCTGTTATTGATGATCATTTGTCTTTATCCAATGTTCGAAAGGTAATGTTCTTTTTTAAAAGCGATTACATACATCCCCTGGTTCATTTCATGAATTTATTGTGGTCACAGGCAGTATAGAGTCCATTATTTCATTCAAGAACATGAAATATTTAGATCCTAATGTTGTAATAAGACCCACTGAAGTCTCAACATTGGGGATTACTGCACACAGACTGCCCATACGTGGATGCTATGAATTGCTAACAAGATATGATAATTCTTCATATATACCTTGTGGATTTTTAGTTGGTGAAACAGGACTGTCAATACTGGGTTTAAAAAATTTGAAAAGGCTTGAATTAGAATCGTCTTTACTATTTTCTACAGAGAATTCTGATGCTTTACTTAAAGACTTGATAACTGTGTGTGCCAAGGGCAGTTGGTGTATGAAAATTCGGCTTATATAAGACAAATAATTCCTTATGGTCTTCGAAGAACAGTACATAAGATATTGAACGATTTGTATGCGAAAGGTATAATTGAACTTATTCAGTCTTCAGCGAGAGGAACTGTTATTGGTACGCCATTGAAGTCGGATGGCAAGACTCCTAGAATGTGTGATAATTGTAGAATAACACTGAACTCCCGTTTGTTGAAGCAATGGTAGAGACTGAAGATATTCTAAATCGACTTCATGATTCTAGAGTTGACTTAAAAGATGCTTATCTTCAGATCCCTTAAGATCAATCTTCATCTATTTTGACAAAAATTAACACTCCTTTTGGTCTGTTCAAGTACGATTTCCTTCAGTTAGGTCTAACTTGCTCTCCAGACATATTTCAGGAATTGAAGACTAAGGTAGTAAATGATCTTGAATGTGTTCAAGCTCATCAAGATGATCTCGTCGTTCATGGTACTGATAAAGTAGTTCGTGATCAGAGACTTGTCGCCTTATTGAGTCGTTTAATTAAGAAAAATATTACAGTGAAGTAAAATAAGTGATAATCTTGTGTATCTAGTTTAGAGTGTATTGGATACTTAATTGATGGTAATGGATTTAGGCCAGATACGAAACGACTACCTCTACTGACAAATGCTTCGTTCAGAAAAAATTTCACAGAATTACCTTCATTAGTGAGTGCTCTTCAATACAATTCCCGTTTTATTTTTCTTGTCGTGATATTCAATTCATTCGAATGGGATGAGGAACAAGGCTCATGCTTACAAATTGCGCTAAAGTTTCTTCAAAGTTTTGCTGTTCTTAGAACTTACTCACCCAGTGTACAATCTGTACTAATTACTGATGCATCAACTTGAAGATACGACCGGTATTGTAGTTCTACAACTATAAACCAGTAACACCTTTATTCCAATCGTCCCCCAATCGGCTAAAATTAGAAGTCAGATGTGAAGAGATTGGAAAGATATATTTGATCCGTTATCAATATATCGAGAAGCGTTTACTCTAATCTGGCTATTCAACGAAGGAGCTGTTTCCCACTCTGGGTTGTAACGTGATCTGGTGCGGATGAATGACCGAAAGCCTTCACTTAAACAAGTCCACTTAAAAAAATGTGGTTAGCATCCAATGTCGAACACTTAGAAAGCTATTGATTTTGGGGAGTTATTTACAGCTACAACCTGTGGTATTGGTGCGGTTTTGGAGCAGGAAGGTAGACTAGATATCTGTTTCACGCAAACTTACTGTTGCTAAACAAAATTATTCACAAACTCAGCGAGAAGCATAAGCAGTATTTTAGACTGTTAAAAGACTTCATAAATATTTATTTGATAAGAAGTGTAGGATTTATTTTGTCCTACAGATTTACTGTTATACTGTAAACGCGATACTGGCGATCTCAGAGTCTATGTGAAAGCTATAGTCAGAACAAGGACAACTTGGCTTTAAACTTTATCTGTTTCTGAACATAAAAACAATTAGATTAGTACAATAATTAAAGAATTACAGTCATTAAGTGAAACGCACAAACATACCGACCAGTATTGCGTGTCTTATTAAAATGAATAAAATTTATGAGTCACACTAATATAATAGGATAATAATATCTTTCAATCAGTAGGTCACATGCAACAGGGATAGTTTGCAGACACATCAGACCAGATTGACGTAGTGGGAGCTTAAGCAAAGATTTGATTGGTTAGTTATGGACATAACTAACATTCTCCCCCAAGCGGACACCATGTCCAGGCTTCAGTACTGTCGCATCTATAAAATCGGCTTCTCCGAATAGACAGGTTCCGTATATCCTGGCTGATCTCTTCGGTTGCTGTCTTCAGTCGAACTGTTCTGACTCGTCCATCTGGACCATAATTGACCTGTCTAACTATAGCTTTCGGCCACAGATTTCTCGGTGAGCCAGTATTGTTTACTAACACCGAATCTCCCGGTTGTCGATTCATTCTCATGTCCAACCACTCGGATCTCGTCAGGAGGGTTGTTAGGTACTCTCTTAACCACCTGTTGCGAAATAGGTTGGTTAGTTGTTGCACTCTCTTTCTTCTGTCATATAAGCACGTTTTACTCATCTGCGCTTCTTCGAGGGACACACCTCCATGAACTAACAATAACTTATTTGATGAGAATATATCCAACTTATTACAGTCATTAACTAGCTTTACGAGTGGTTGGTTGTTCATTATCCCTTCAATCTCTATTAAAAACATCTCCAAAGACTTGTCCGTCAATACCTTTTGAAACAGTGGTGATTGTAGAATCCTTCTTATCGACTTTATAAGGCGTCCCCATGCACTGCCTCAATGACTAGCTCTAGGAAGTTTAAAACGCCATTCACAACCCCTTTTTAAAAGAGCATTTGCTATCTTATTCTGGTTCCAACTACACATAATCTGTCTACGACTAGCATTGGCTTTTTTAAATTTATCAGAACCACCCTTACTCTTATTCACAACTCGCACAAAGGCGTCTTTCCCAACACCATGTACAATACCACGGCGAATATGTGCTGTCTGCTTCTTCACGGTCTTATTTACTGACTTCTCTGTTAAAGTGACCTTTGGCTTTTTTGGTGTCTTCACTTTCGGTTTGGTGACCTTCCTTTTCTTGGTCAGAGTTGTTTTAGGATTATGATCACATGGTGCTTTTATTTTTGGCTTAGCAACCCTGGACTTGGCTAATAAAAAGGAACGATAAACTTGACGGGAGACATCTTTAAAACGAGCACACGCTACAACACCATATGCGAATTCTGAGGCATCAACAAAGTAATAAATCTGAGTAGCTAGTGGTTTGCACGATCCTGGTACGAGACATCTGGGAAGTAACAGTTTACTTAGGCGCTTCATACCTCTGAGCCAACAGTCCCATCTTATAGAGCACTCCCTAGGAAGTTCTTCGTCGCATGAAAGATTTGGCCGACAAACATCTTGAAAAATTAATTTAGCTGATAAAGCCATTGGAGCTATAAGCCCATCTGGGTCGAACATATATGCTACATACGACAAAATGGTTTTCCTTGCAGGAGTCGCATCGAACTTGCACATCCTGAAGATCTTATCCGTTCGAACACTCCACTCTTTTCCTAGAGTCCTTTCATCGCTTTCCACAGATAAACAAATATCTACGTTCCTGTCTATGTGGTCTCCCTCTGGAATAAACTTTATTAATTCAACATTGTTGCTGGCCCACGTGGTTAGATTAAAACTCCCTAAAGGTAACATTTCCTTCAGCCGAGAATATGCTAACTTAGGATCTTCTAACGTATCAACACTGGTTAATAAATCATCAACGTAGAACTGTTCCTTCGCTGCCTGTATAATGCACTCAGGAAATCTAGCCTCTTTACCTAGGATAGTCCTTTGTAGAGCAAACGTTGCGCAACTTGGCGATGAGATCGCACCAGACAAATGTACTTTCATTTTACAGGTTCCTGGTCCATCTTTAGACGATAAATGATTTATGATACTCATATTGCTCGTGGTCTCACTGTAAGGTACAAACAACGTCCACCCTAAAGCAGTTTTTATAGCGTACGGTTCATTAGATTTTCCCATTCTCTTCTCTTTTATCTCGTGTACGCCATGTGCGTTACATCCAATCAACAGTTTGACATTCTCGCCTTCTACTCTCGGAATACTTGTGTCTTTTAAATGAGACCAGGATGCCATTTGATGCACCGTTGGCACAGTCCTGTAAACCGACGGTAGTTTTTTAACAGTCAACGCTTTCAGCACCTTAACAGATGATGAAAAATCTATCGAGTGCAACTCTACATCGACCTCTTTGTATATCAGTGACGATTCATTACTAAGAGTCTTTAAAGACACCATTTTCGGTTTTCCCTCGAGGCCTAACTCACCAGCCAGATCATCAGCAATGAGAGAGGTATCTGATCCGCTATCTAAAAAGGCGCAAGTCTGAATAATCTTCTCACCATTTTTTACCCATACAGGCACTACTGCAAATGCTACTGGTCTCTGCATTTGCTTAAAACTTCCCTCCGTACAGAAATGAGTATTAATGCAAGCATCACTATCGCTATCTCTCTGTTCTCCCTGTTTCCTATGTAACAGGGTATGGTGTCTCCAACCACATCCTTTGGCGGTAAATGATCTTGGTGCTCGACAGTTTCTTGCTATATGGCTCGCCTTCAGACAGACATTACATAACTTCTTCCCTAATACAAATTCTATTCTTTCACTAACATCCTTATCTCTAAACCTTTCACATTGATCCAATGTATGGTTCCCAGTACATAATAAACATGATAACCCAAGAGTTCTTGGTCCTACGTGTGGGGAGACATCAGACGAACTCGTGTTAGCAAACGACACTCTCGCTTTGTACTCTGAGTCAAGGGGCTTTTTTGTAACGGTAACCGATTGCCTTTGGTTGCGGTTAGAAAGACAAGTAATCCATACCTAGTATTAGCAATGTCTGATTGCTCCTTCACAAATTCACAAAGGTCCTTGAATAAAGGCTCTCTACCTGTCTTAAGAAACCTAGACGCAACTTTAACCCATTCTCTCTGTAAATGCAGTGGGAGTTTTAAGAACATACTCTCGATGGTCTTTGTAGAATTAAGATCGGATACATAGTCCATCTGCGTAAGTGTGAGCTCACAAACATGCATCTCACGAGACAGTCTTCTTAAACCATCTGGATCAGTCCCCTTAATAGCAGAGATATCCAGCATCTTATCAATAAATGCATGGGTCACGATGTGCTTCTGACCAAATGCTTCCTCGGGAAGCTCTAACGCCTTTCGATAGCCTTCTTCTGGCCCAAGCAATGCACAGTGAACAATGGTAGAGTTAGCTTCACCATCACAACACTGAATCGAATAGTTTAACCTAATTCGGAATCTAACTCTTTCGTCAAAACAGTCTTCGAAATTTCGTATGAAACTCCAATAGTTCATGGGATTACCATCAAACCTTATAATCTCTCTCCTTGGTAGGTCTAAAGCTCTAGATATCATTGTTATCCAGTCTTTTCCAGGAGGAATATCGAATGCAGATGAGAAGTCAGATGTGAAGAGATTGGAAAGATATATTTGATCCGTTATCAATATATGGAGAAGCGTTTACTCTAATCTGGCTATTCAACGAAGGAGCTGTTTCCCACTCTGGGTTGTAACGTGATCTGGTGCGGATGAATGACCGAAAGCCTTCACTTAAACAAGTCCACTTAAAAAAATGTGGTTAGCATCCAATGTCGAACACTTAGAAAGCTATTGATTTTGGGGAGTTATTTACAGCTACAACCTGTGGTATTGGTGCGGTTTTGGAGCAGGAAGGTAGACTAGATATCTGTTTCACGCAAACTTACTGTTGCTAAACAAAATTATTCACAAACTCAGCGAGAAGCATAAGCAGTATTTTAGACTGTTAAAAGACTTCATAAATATTTATTTGATAAGAAGTGTAGGATTTATTTTGTCCTACAGATTTACTGTTATACTGTAAACGCGATACTGGCGATCTCAGAGTCTATGTGAAAGCTATAGTCAGAACAAGGACAACTTGGCTTTAAACTTTATCTGTTTCTGAACATAAAAACAATTAGATTAGTACAATAATTAAAGAATTACAGTCATTAAGTGAAACGCACAAACATACCGACCAGTATTGCGTGTCTTATTAAAATGAATAAAATTTATGAGTCACACTAATATAATAGGATAATAATATCTTTCAATCAGTAGGTCACATGCAACAGGGATAGTTTGCAGACACATCAGACCAGATTGACGTAGTGGGAGCTTAAGCAAAGATTTGATTGGTTAGTTATGGACATAACTAACAAGTAGTTTACCATTATTACTGGTCGTGAACGTTTAATGTTTGAAAATCTTTAGCACGCTCCTCAGGTGCTGTATGGATTGTTGCTTCGAGTGTCTATGACTATACGGTTGAGCACGGGAGTGCAAAACAAACTCCAAACGTTGACTACATTTCTCTACAATCATTATAAGGTTGACCTGTTAATACTTCAGACTTTTTGTTAGTGCAATTTTTACAGGTGAGACGTCCAGATCTCGTTGGTGGAACTCGTAGATACTTTAGATGTACACTCAATGTTATACGGAAAGATTGGAATGCTAGTCAAAATGTAGACCTCCTGTCTATCTTTCAAAGAGGAATGAGTTATCAACTATTCCTGATAGTATTTTGTGCCTAGATGGTCGTGTCGTTACTGCTCCTTCATTACGTAAATCTGTCCTTGAAGATCTTCATAGTGAACATCTAGGTGCTGAGAAAATAAAGTCCTTGACAAGGCTCACATGTTGGTGGCGGAGATAAATGCAGATATATGTGAGAGATTTCATAAGCAAAAAATTCAGCCTTCAAAGTGGACTCCATGACCAGAGTCGTCTGAGGCCTGCAAGAGAATTCATAGCAAATTCTTGGCAAATAATATACGCGTGTAGTTATTGATTATTTGTCAACGTGGCCTGAAGTTTTTTTCACTTCATCGAATTCTGACTTCATAACACAAGCATTAGGAAAGGTTTTTAGCCGTGAAGGGGTTCTCATCGTATTAGTGAATGGTTATCGCTCTCATTTCGTTGCGGATGCAGTCACTAACTGGTCGAATGGTATAGGGTACAGGTGTCTGTTCACTGTTCACAGGCACCCTTATTCTAATGGTTAGGCAGAAAATTTTGTCAGCACATTGAAAACTGCTATTGATTCTATTGCTGCTTCAACATTGAAAAAACTGGAGGGGGAGTAGATACATTTCTACTTCAATATAGAAATGCTAAACACTCTGTGACAAAAGAGACTCCATCAGAGCTATTAAAAGGAAGGATTCTTCATTACAATGTGAGGTGTTTGAAGTCTGTGGAAGTCGCATATTATCGTGAGAATGATTTTCGACTAGCCACGGGGATTGTGGTGAAGAATGTCGGGAAATATATGGTCCGAATTCTAGATACCAATGACCTAAGTATACATAACCGACATGTTGATCAAATACGATCCTAGAACCCAGGTGAGTTTTTTCCAATTTTGGTTGTTAATTCTAATACTAACGAGTACATTCTAGATAATACAGAGTCTTTATTAAATGCATCGAACATATCGAACATACACAGGATGAACTTAAGAAGAAGACGTACGATCGATTACGGACACTCAGACTCCAATTTAAGTGTTTATATGAACCAATGATTTTTTTGTAGTGATGACTGTTTTGATTTCGAATCCTAAATACAATACATTGGTTCTTACCCATTTAGTAGTTCTTGAATAAATGGCGTTGTTTCTGGGATTACTATTTTTTTAATATAGTTCAAATACTCTTAAATATCACAATTAGCCATAGGTCTTATCGCATTAGTTATACCGTTAGTAACTGACCTATTTTATTCTTCAGTCTCAGTAGTAAAACAGCGAAAATCATACGCTTTTATTATCATGAACGCTCCCCAACTAAGAAGACGTGAACCCTGAGAAACGAAACTTTCATTGTCCTTGCTGAATATTTTATGCATGTATAGTGGTCGAAACCGCTTCTTGTACGAGTGTCCCAAAGCCAACAAAACCAGATTCTGAGGACAATGAGACTAGAGGATTACTTCGCGGAATGACTGGCGTGTTGAGGAGTGCCTTATCTATGGTGACTAGATGTCTGAGTGATACGCAACACAACGTACCTAAACGCGATCTGTTCGGTGTGAATCTTCGGGTAGGCGTGTGCACGTAAAAATTGTGAGATGTGCATCAATATGGAAGACTCAAAACACTCTGTTTCTAGGATATATTCCGCTCTATACTAACTAAGATTTAAGGTCGAGGTCCGACCTTTACAGGGCTATTTTTGAAGGTAGCGTTACGAAGTGACTGATGCTTATGCGACATTGTTATCATTTGCAGAATAAACCAGAAATTCTCCACTCACCTTTTTTCTAGTCTCAATCACTTTGCAGATAAGTACTAGTAGTAGTGCTACTAATATCACTAGGAAGCAGTTGAAGGATGAGGAAATATACCCGTTAGAGTATAGGCGTCTTAGAGGTGATCTTCTTATGACTTATAATATCCTTAATACTTCTGGTCATCCCCTTAAACAACTTCTTAAGCTTAGTCATAACACTAACCTCAGAGGTAACACCCAGAAATTGGAGACCTTACATAGCAGAACAGACTGCAGACACAACTTCTACTCCGTTAGAGTTGTCAAGTGCTGGAATTCGCTGCCGATTGAGCTAGTCCAAGCGACCTCCCAGGAGTCCTTTAAGAGAAAACTTGACTTATTCTTAAGGACTAAGGATAACATATTATTATGATTTACCAAATTCTTTTTTTCCCCTCTATTATCGTTCATATACCTAGGTTCTTGCCTGGAGGTATTGGTGATCCACTGCTACCAGACACGGAAGCCCGTTAAGCGAAAGCTTCTTTTATTCCGTCCTCAACCATTTGAACTATTTGAAGTGAAAATGGAACTGTTGGAAAATCGACTTGTTTTTCCTAACATCTCATTTTCCCATATGATCTGTTCCATCAAACCTTTCCATAGGATTTTTATTCGACCACTGAAACACCATCCTTTGTCGGGAAAAGTGTACAGGGCTGCATACAACCCTACACAAGTTTAATAATTGAAACAAGTAGGCGATTCTTACCCAAAAACCCATACTTATGTATGTATGAATGCACTGAAAGTTGTTTCCGTGTATCACTATTGTCGCTTCACTACTCGGATACGAAGTGACGACATCTTAAGATGCTTAGACATCGTAAGGCAAGTTTGTCCTATAATGATATCAACACTTGAAGTCATAGGATTTCTTTTGTATAACTACCGGATCCATAGGTACTGTGATATCGCTTAGCACCCTAACTGTTACACGTCAATGCATCTCCTCAGCTGAATTCATCAGCCCACAATCATTGTACGGCTGTAAATCCTAATCCTGATTCTTCACACTTATTTATAACCCGTTAAGTGGACAATATCAAGGTGAATGTAGCGTGACTCAAGGGTCATCCATAAATCATAGTCTCACCAGATTATAATGCGATCATTGGATAACACAGGATCAGAGCAATTATCGTCACCAATGGGTAGACTGCGTGACATCGGTCAGAATAATTCACAATTTCGCACGTGTATTCAATCATTATCTCTGATTTGGTCAATTGCCTCCATAAAGATTTTTTATTTCTACGAACGCTCATTTACATGAAGCATGTGTTTTACCCATCGCTTTTTCTATTGCTAATAATAGTTACTAACTATACTACTGTATCATCTTACTGTGTTGGTCTGATATGGCAACTAGAACTAACGCCAATATGTGCCAAGTTGTGCGTTACTGCTGACTGACTTACAGAGTCTTCATAGATGTTATTTTAGGTGTCTCTTGTTGACTAGTCTTACTATTCGGTTTTTTATTTCCCAGGTCATTAAAGGATCGCTTCACTGCATTTATAAACCGTCTACAATATATTCGCCGTCAATCCAAAAGGACATTTGGATCAATATATCTACCCAACAAAGTGTGAAATAAAAGCTTTGTCTGCATCAATGTACTCATAACAATTATGTCGGGCTCAGAAGAGGACAGTAGCATTTTTGTTAAAAGACTGTATGCTCGCTATACCAAAGATGGGATTATAACTCCACAAGCTCTTGTCACTTGGTTTGTTGATTATTTAAATTACCCATTTATGTATGATGAAAAATGTAAGTCTAATTTTGGCTTCTTCAAAGATCCTAAAGATACAAAGAACCATCCATTTCAGATTGTTTCTTTTATTACTCGTGATGCCTTACAAAGCAACACGACTCTACGGTTTTCAGAAAAGACAGAGCTGTTTTGTTTATATCATTCTTACCGATTTACTTTTGTCATTGACTTTAGTTGGTCGACTTTGTGTTCAAGCGCAGATGGAACATGTTTTGTAAACAGTATTGTAAAAACAATCAACCAAATTTTTTACATCCTGTCTGAACCCAGTTCTTATAGCTTTCCTGGGACTGGTTACAAGTTGTCCAATTTTACAGTATTTTGTTCAGTGATCGTTGTTGTTCCTAACTCAAAGTGCTATACGTTATTGTCTGGTTGGGTTGTTAACACTAAAGAAATTCCCAATAAAATAGCATATATTTCTCGTTCACTTGTGAAACTTGAGCGTAAGTTTTTGGAAGACATTAAAAATAAGCGTGATGACTCTAAATGTACTGGCAGACGATACGTTTTCTTATCAGACCTACTTAGACATGGGGCTCTATCTGTGTCATTACTGACCCCTACCTCAGGACCTGCCACAATCTTGTTTTTTACACACGGCTGTTTTGCAACATCTGATTTTGGTGTTCCAGAATTAGTAATGTCTCATTTAAATGTAGAACATGTTCGATGTGTTTTCATTTTGATGACAGACAATATTACCCCTGATTTCCACAAACCATATACTCCCCATAACACGTCTAAACCATCTTCTCTCATGACCGCGGGTATTCAGCAAGTGGAGTTGTGTAGTGTCTTAGCCAATAACACCGATGGATTCATCGTCAATATCCCGAATGAGTCTCAAAATTTAGCGGTTCAGATGAATTCATGGAATAATTTGGCCGAATCTTTGTTAGCCGTCCCCGTATTTCGTCGTAGCGAGTATACAGAATGTTATAGTGATTTTAACCGTGACTCCCGAGTCATCGTCAAAGCAGGTTCAAAAATTGTAGAATTGCCTCCACATATCTTGTTAACAACAAGATTAAAAAGTGGATTCCGACTTAAATCCATCTCAATAACTAGGAAATCGACTGTTCCAAAAAGCCATTTGATTACAGCAGAGGCTTCTGTTTACAATAAAAATGAAGAGATGGAAGCTTGTGTTCCACTTACTGAAAATGAAAAAATCTCTAGTAATTGCGTGGCCACCAAATTAAAGTTAGATCTTGTGATGGTATGGGGGGTAAATATAACATTCCACTGTTCTATACGTGGAGGTTGGACACGAATATTTCGTTCTCCTATTGTAACTGGCTCAACTAATTTTGCTACAAAGAACATGCATGAAGACGCTTTGTTATCTCCCTTTTCTGACTCATTTACTACTGAAAAGTCGCTGGTAGAATTGAAAGTTGAAGCAAATTATTCACTTTTACGACAGATTTTTAATAGACATTCTTTTCCTAACAGTAATCTGGAACTATCGTCAATGTTTTCTCGTCTTCCATTGCCTATTCAAGTGATAACTTTGAATGATTTACTTTTAGTGCATGTTTATGAGTTCAGTAGGGATCCATTTGTTCGGAAGGTTCCTGACTCATTTTCTAATCGTTTGTACCCTGTGTTTGTTATGAAAAATAATCTCCAAGGTGATTTGGTTGCAACACCTATACTACAAGATCTACAACCGACTAATAATCCTGACTATTCATCCATTCTACGCTTTATCAATTACTGGAGACTTTTCATCGATATTGACCTAGTTCAGTGCTATCGTTGGATGGACTTGCATCACATCTTTTTACTCTTAGAATACGACTCACCTCTACCACCTAACATACATTTCCCTCCATCTGACAAGCGCGATACTTCTCCTCTTTCTTGCCGTCAAGCTCTCTTCCGTGTTCATACTCTTCTGTCACAATGGTCAAGTTTTGTTTTGCTCGAAAATAGTACTTATATAAAGTTGTTTCATATCGGTGACTTTGCTATTGGACAACTTGCACATAAATCCAGTTCTTTATCTTCGATTTCTTCTGTTTCCGGGGCTACCCAGGAAACTATGGACGCGAAAAAGGTTAGTGAATGTAATGTTGGTTGCAATAAGACATGTTCGGGGGTTTCCATATCATCTGTATCTCACTTCTGTTTGATTCGTCTTGAATTAAAAATTCCTGAAGTTAGATTTTGCATTGGCTTTGTTAATAATACTCCTGTTGATATTCAACACGAAATTATAGAGTATCTGAAAACACAATTAAAGTCTCTCCATTTTCCACCAAGAGGGCGCCAAGCTATTCCCAAATCTAGACACAAATCTGGCACTTTTCAACATGCGGCCGAGTGCAAACATGTTCCACCTCTTCAACGCTCCTGGGAAGATACACCATGTTGCACAATTTTCAATGCTAGACTTGATCGTCTTGTAATAGACTTCGGTACATTCTGTAACCCTGTAGTAAAAACCTCAGACTGCATTTCCACTAATAAAAATAAAACTGTCAAGCTTGACCATACCCATGAATCTGAACGTGTGTCAAAATCGTGCAAGCAAAATCGGCTTTTATTTTCACGAACCGTTCCAGTAAATGATGCGACTATCAATCCAGTATTGTTGGCTCAACATCTTCGTCATTCCGTTTGTGTATGGGCAGTTTTTTCATCAACTTGGAAGTCGTGTATGCAGTCAATATTCTCAAGTCTTGTGAACGTTCGGCTACAGGAAGGATTTCATCTAGCTCGAGTAGGTCCGCAATCCGGATTTGTGTCTTTATTAACTGAACTGGAAATGCAATCACTTGAAATTAATAACACCGGGACTCCATGTTTGGTTCAATATCAAGTCTATCCAATTGTTGACCCTAAAAATGTAGAATCTCACGGACATGATTTAGGACATTTGACTGTTATAAATAATTTTTTAAAGAGCCATATCGATGCTGCTGTGTTAGATACGTTAAATTCACCTGATTCCTTCGTGGTTCCCGACATAAAAACATCCTCGTTTTCTCCTATCATTATTGCCTCCGAAATATGGATCCAGCCTGTCGATGGTACTATTAACCCAGTCCATTCAGAAGCACAAAACTGGTCAGGATCTACTTTTTCCGAATTACCCCGGATTATTTTTAATGATGACGAAGAGTGCATAGTTTCATACATAACATTGGACAACTTGTATAACTTTGTAACTAACAAATCCAAAGTCTGTATTAGTTCTCCCAAAAAGATAACTTTACTAGGTGATGATGATCCATATTTTCCACTAGAGTGTCCTACAGAAATCTGTCTAGTATATAGTAGCATATCTAGGCTGGTATCTCGGTGCCCAAACTTAATTGCTTTGTTCCCTTTATTGGGGAATGTTGTCAACAAGAAACCTTCATCTAATCTGTCAAATGATATTCATAACCAACGTATGTTAACAAGTTTGCAATCACGTCTCCTAAATTCGGGTTTATTGGTTGAGGTTCCAGTTTCTGTAGATGAATTGAAAACTATTCTTACTAAATGGGGCCACAACATAAACTCTGAATGTCCAGAAAACACTGGTGTTGATCTTCCTAAATTACGTTGTTTTGTTGGTCGGGGATCACTGAAACAATCTGTTGTTGTTTCAGATGTTATTGATGAACCAAATCCTATGGTTACGATGATTCTTATACCAGCCACAATGGGTGATGTATTTCATCCTATTATGTTTAGCATAGTTAAAAACCACCTAGGAACTTCTGATGTACCAAACCACCCTTCTCTTCCTGTATTTATCTATGCGTGTTCTCGTGTTTATATGTCGTATCTAATTGATGACAAATGGACATACAAGGCCCCAGATACTCACGTAATTGATATGCGCTCAAATGACCGATGTTTTCTCCAATCAGATAAACATGAATGTAATATTGTTGGTAAGGTATATTCCTTGCCAGGTGAAGTCCCAGACTGTTTTCTGAACGTGGGTTGTCAAAATGAAAGATTGACTCAAGAGTTGCACGCATTGTGGTCTGATTTGATGTTCTATACTGAAATTTTAGAGCACTCGTACAGTTATGCTTTCAGTGTTGTAATTTATCGGATCATTTTACATAACTCCATTCCTGACACTAAAGATGTCAATTATATACTTAGGCACTCAGAAGAGTGTTTTCCGATTCAGCCATTGTATGTAGATCTTACATCATTCTCATTACTTACCTGTTCTCATCTTTTTCCCTACGTTCATTTGCTACATAAAAGAAGTAATAAACATTTTGAAGGAAGTAATTGTTCCAAACCTCTACCTGTTCTGGGTTATGAAAAGCCAAAACAATCTTCACTTCCATTGTGCTTCTTGGATTCAGAGGACCTATCAGTTGAATTTTATATGTCTTCCGCCAATGACTGCGACTGTTGTGAAATTCAGAGAAGTTGTCTTCTCAGTACATTTACTGAATATCTCAAACCTGTACCAAACTTGGATGGTGTTTATGTATTGTCGAAATCCAAGTTAACGTGTCGAGGAAATCGCACAATCCGTCGTTCTGTAAGTCAAAATATCTTAAAATCGTGGAGTAAAGCCATAAATATTTCTGGTTCTAGGGGAATCCTCGGTCAAACAGACACTTGCAATGCATACAGTAGTTCGGTGACTTGTAACTTGTCGGAAGCTAGCGGAGAGAGCGAGGCTTTGTGGGATTCACGCACTCTAAAATCGAATAAAGAGGTTTCTCATCGTAATAATTCTATTTCTCATTGTTCAGATTCACTACTACGAAAATTGGTGGAATGGTTTCATTTAGTTACGAAAAGTTCCCCCGATGTTTGTCTCCTATTCTTACGCATTCGTGGGATCTTGGAGTACAAAGGAACATCTATCAATGTGCCTTTATTTAAAGGGATACCTACTTTCTGTGCTTCTTATTTTCACGGGCTTTTATCAGAACTAATCTTGAAAAAGGCCTCTCAACACAGCTCATCATTCAACCATAAAGTATCACATATGAGTAGCAGCTCTGCACTAAAAGTCGATCTAAGGGAATTATATTTTTATATCGAGATTCTACCTATCGTTAGACCACACTCTGATTTCTTTCCTTCTCACAAATTTAACGACAATATTTTTAAGAGGCCGCGTCATAAAAATAAAACAGAAATTAACTCAGGCGGTGTACGAAATCAACATATAGAATCTTCAGATATCTCTCACTGCGCTTTTATGTCCAGTAGTTATTCTATTAATTTGGCTTACTCGACAATGGAGGAAGAATGCATTGTTATGGATGGTTGGTTAAACCAAAACTATGTTTCTGAAATTCCGTCAATACAACAATGTTTTCTTCGTCTCTTCATTTTTCAAATGCTGTGGCATATACATGACAAGTCTGTAAATTGCCTGCGTTCCGTCACTCCAGTGACAGAAAAATCCCTTGAAACTGTTCTTCAGCACATTGAAGATACTTGTAAAGCAATACATACTCCGCTCTTCAATCCTTGTAGCATTTTAGTCAACTACTCCTATATATCTAGTGAAGACGAACACTCAAAATCAAATGTCGATTTCGAAAAGTCATCAACTGTGGTAGAAAAACTATGTACCGTAGCACCGAACTTTCGCAGTCTTAGAAAGCAGGTTCGTATGCAACGAATACAATTGGACTTCGTTTCTTATGACACTGATGTGGTTGATCAGTTTACGAAGTATTTTGAGAGTATGCTTGTTTCCCATTCATATGGGTCCCTTCAATATAATAATGGGTACTACTACCTATCAAACTTTGAAGAGACTTCTGAAAGCGTTTTAGAGAAACGACACACAAAGAGTAGTTTTTGGGACGGTGACAGAACTAACTATTTTCCTGGTGTTGGAAATTTCAGCTCTGGTTTGCAAGACCCAAGTGTTACCATGGATAAGGTTTCTTCACATCAGTCATCTTTTCCTGATAGTATAGCTATTGCTCATACTTCAAAAAAGGGGACACTTGCTAGGTCTCTAAAATATCAAACCCATAAGTATATGAATGTTTCATGTGTTGGTAATGGGTGGTGTAGAAATGAAGGATCATACTTATCTAAGCAAAATCCTTGTCGAACCCGTAGATCATACTCACTTTCTAGTTTTGACTCTCATTATTCCAAAAATGACAATAAAGCTGTCTTTAAAAGTAAGCTTGTTAGAAGCAGTATAAACCTATCCGAAAGTAATTCAAGAAAAAGCATACATCCAATTGCCTTAGATGAAGATGCACAATCATCAAAAAAATCTATGCCATTTTGGTTTATATTCCGTATTTGTTCCAATTCAGTTAGCGTTTTCTTTCATCATACAGATTTACACATCAAGAGCATTCACAGTCAAAAGCAGTGCCGATATTTATCACTGTCTAGATTTCCACTCCCTAAAAATTCATCATACCAAATTTATAAAGATATATTGTCACTTGAATGTCCGTACTGCACTATTTATCAGAATGTAGTGAGTTCCATTTATTCTGTGATTCGAATGCTCAATCAGAAGCTGTTATTAAATAAACTTTATGATGAACGTTTTTGTGATCAGCTTTTGTTGCCTTCCGATGAAGTGGATATGGTTACAAAACGCGAAGTAGTTAGTTCATCTGAATGTGATGAAAGCAACACCCGAAATGGATCTTTTACTAAGAGTAATTTCCGCGGATGGAAAGTCCGAAATAAACGTCATGTCCGGTCATTCATTCATCATATACCTCCAAATGATAAAGAAAAAGCAGATTTCAGTTGTCACAAATTGAAGACACACTCAAATACTCCTAATCATATCGAAAGAACTAGCCGCATAAAATCTTCCAGCATACTCAATACCACACAGCATTCCGTGAATATCGGTGATAATCAAAAGAAACTCCCACTTCAGCACAAACTCTGGCCACCTGGTGTATTTGCTTGTCCGGTACAGATGACTAGCTATATTTATTTACATCCTCGAGTCTTTCTTAACTGTCAAATATATTCTGTTGAAAAAGGCAGACGCGTCATTCCTGCCCTTCGTCGGCTTCTGGAAAATTTAGCCATAACAAATCGATCTAATATGTTCTTCCTCATTGACCACCCTTCCAAAACAGATTCAATTTCTGCTACTGCTAGGCAAAAAAGACACGCTTATTGTGACTCGGAAGTGCAGTCAATACACTCATTGTCAGAATCTTCACAAGACCCTGTGTTTTATATGTTATTGAAAGAAATTACTACTGCAACATTTTCATCCGACCAGCAATCAGGCCTATTAGATAAACGGACAAGTCAAACGGAACCAAAATATTTATTGGAATCAAAGTTAAGTACCAAGATAAATAAAGTCAGGCATATTTCCTCAGATGTTCCCACTTCAACCTACTTTGGCAGTTCAGAAGAGACCGCAAAAAATATTCGCAAAGGCATCCGATTTGCAGGCAATTTACATAAAACTTACAAGCACAACGACCGTATAGGAGAAAATGTTTTGCAAATAACTCTTCATGGCATAAGTCAACCTAGCAGGCGACTTTGTTCTTCTGTTCACCATATGCTACAAACTCGTTTAGATGGACTCGTTCTTCAGCATATATCGGATAGTCTTTCTCGAAACGCCATTAATCGTCTTACGTTGGAAGACTTTACGTTTTTACTCAATAGGCGAATTGAACATCCCCTTATTCACTTTTATATCGCACTTCCTGATTTTCTAACGGGTAATGATAGTAGTTTGTTTGTTAGTCAAGCAGTTCTCTCCTTTTGCCACTACTTTCGACAAAATCTTCTTTTATTCTTAACTCCGGTTAAAATTGATGATGATACTAAAAAGCGTCTGAAGGAACTAGGCAAGGCTGAGTTATATCTTTTCAATCGTCCAAGCGCTCAGGGTTTCTCTAAGCATGGTGTTGCAACTATCTTGATTCAGCTTATGATAACTTCTGGCGATAAAACACCTCAAACAAATTATGGCTTCACTAGGCCATACATTATTACGGAATCCTCATCATCTGATGAACCTGCTTGTCCTGGAATATCTTGCAACCTGTGTTTTCAAGACATGTCTAAAGCAATTAAGAATTTCTCTGAAGTTAGTAAGTCTGATTTACAGAAGCATCCAGTACCAAGACTTGTCTTATCAGTTCGCATGTGGGAGCGTGGACATTCTGATCTGAGCAACTTAAAGTTGCGTCTGATGACTTCTGTTCATCACGCTCTTTACGATTTAATAACAGAACATCTTGTTTTGACTTCGCCAGTATTTTCGGATGTAGAATGCAGCAATGATACCTTACATGAAGAATCTTCCCAAAACTCAAACAGTATTGACTTAACAACTTCAGATTCAAAAGATACATTTTTAAGTGCCAAGAATATGCCTCTGAGTTCACTTGTTGTTCAATGGATGAAAGAAGGAAAAAATATTGAATCACCGCTTGTAACAGATGTCTCTATTAACCTTTCGTCTTGTTTATTTGTTGAACAACTGATTTCGGATCTTCTAAAGCCATTTATTTCTCATGATGATAATTTGGTTCTTGATAGTTCTCCAAATACCGTTTCCCGTAAACAGGATTCCACACCAGACTTCTCTTGTGTATCTATTAACCCTGGTGGGACATTTAGTCCCTCTGAATCAGCAGCGAGTTCAAATAATAAAAGTGAAACAAAGTGTGAAGAGAATGTAGAGATGTTTAAGCCAGGTTTCATCAATAAATATATTATAGTCGGTCGCAATCGGAACGCCTGGAAAAGAGCTCTCAATGTAACTCAGACGGGACAACAACCCAAATCTATCGCCGTTCCAAAATCGTTAGATAAAACATCACATATCTGGCTCATCGAATTTACTTCCGATTCTGGTAAGTTTCCTTTATACTTAACTGTTTTGATGACTTTTTATAAGTTTGAACGCTATAAGTGCCTGCTACTAGATATTTTTAATTTTTCGCTTCATATAGAAATAATACATTTTAACGTCCTAACATCTCATGACTCATTGGACCTGCTGTCTGGAGGTGAACCGGGAAAAACTGTCCTGTAGAAGTTCTGCTGATTAACATTGATCCCAATATCTGTTATTGAATTACTGACAAAAGTGGAAATGAGTTTGCAGATCTTTGTTTAAAGTACCAGTATTTATTCTTATACCCTTGCAATAGTATGACTCATTCAGCAGCATTTCAAACACGTTGATTTTAAAGTGTATTAATTGCAGTAATCTACAAAATTGTATATATTTTACTTTGACTGTCAAAATATTATTAATAGTAGATCAGGATTAATCACTGTATTAGTATGTGCGTGTTTTTTTAGTATTTCCTGTTTGTGGATTGTCTTGAATTATCTGAAGTGGAATATTGACTATTATCAACTGTCCAGTGGTTATGTTTGGGAACAATCAAATATATTCTTTTTAAAGTTGGTTTTAAGACAACTGTATCAGCTTCTGAAAAAACCTCACCCGGATAATTGGGAGACGTAAGACATGCCAAAATATAATTTCTGAGTTAGTATTTCTTAAATTCTCAAAGGAATTGAAGGAATGCATTGTTAGGAATTCCAGTAACCACCTTAAGTTAATTGTATTTGATTGTTGTTTTCCCAGGATTATCTCTGTTTTTGCAGTAGTGATATCACTCGAAGTTTGATGAAGTGTAGAGGTCTTCAGTGAATAGTAGAGGTATTTTCGAAGGACTCTAATATTTTAGATACAATTTACATGCGTCCCTAAGCATTAATTTCTGACTCAAAGCTCGACTATCAATTCTTTCTATATAGCGATTAAGAAATAAATGTTTTTGCTGGATTAGCACCTATCGATATATTTTACTCCTTTGATTTACTGTAAATATGTAGAAAGTTTTGTCTCGAAAGAAAAACCATTGAAAGTTCTACCATAATCTCCTTTTGTTTCCCCTAAAACTAACAGAGCATATTCACAATTAGTAATGAATGTTTCGTTTGATGTTCTTCTTAGTCAGTTGTTTATCAATAGTATTTGCTGTTTACTCAAATTTCCCTTTTATTCTTCAAAATACCACTTTAATTTATACGGTGCTTATCTTGGTATCAGTTTTGTTACTGACTTTTTTGTTCTGACTGAGAAGAATTATTTTAAATCACAATGACCAATTAGTATAAGTTATAACGTCGTTGTTTTGTCTTGTAGACTTGGTTCATTTCCCTGCAAAGTCGAAGTCAGACGAATAAAATTATTTGTTTGTTAAGTGAAACAATTCACAGAAAGGATTATATAGACATGAAATAAGGTTTCACTGGTTTTTCGATTATATAGGCTTCATATTTCGAATTTTTTTACGTTTCATTAAGTAGTTCACGTTTCATTTTGAACTAACACGGCTTAAACAGTAAAAGTATACTATTAGATTTGCTCAGTAAAATATCAGGCCTTTAAACATATAAGTTACTTTTTTTTTCTACTGGATAGGTATTTATTATGATGCATCTTCACGAATGCAACCACTGAAAGTTAATATTCCACCAAATATTTGCTCAATAAACATTGAATCTAATCCACCCATCAAAAGACTTTATCGTAATGATGAAGCATATGCTTGTGAAGCACGCTTTTCATCTAACAATGATGCTAAGCGACGTGTAACTCAGTCATCTGATTTTCATTGGTGCCTTACCGATAGTTGTTGCAATTCCGCTCTACTTGGTAAGTTCAATATCCGCTTATTTGATCTTATTCTACGGTTAAGTCTCAGAAATTCAAGTCCTGAACATTCTAGTTTTTAAGGTTGTGATGTTTTTGTTTGATTCCCGGTAAAGGTTTAGGATATGTAATAGCATTCATTCGTTTTATAAAAATTCTGTTGGGTAATGTGTAAGATACACCAGACAGTCATTTGTCTCCTATAAGCCCGCTGATAATTAGAACAGTCATATTCCAGCCATTAACCCAGTAAGAAATCTCGTCTTTCAATTTTTCGTTTTTGTGAAGAAATTTTGAGGTTAATTTTATAATATTTCGTTTCAGTCTAAACTGTCTGTAGTTTGATCTGGTTTTAAACTACGGAAGATAAATTACCAGAAATTTATTAATTATCTCTAGTATAATTTGTCCGATAAAACATCGAACAAATGGTTTCCAACTATTTCTTGTAAAAATCTCTCCAATTCCTTTTACTTCTGTCATTGTATGGATAAATTATTTGTAAATCGTTTACAGAGGGCATAGTTCGTGCCAAGATTTTTCACAGAATAATAATTCCCTTTGTCTTCCAACTTTTGCATTAAGTAGGTGGAGCGGGATTCCGACCTGTGACCTCCACTAAGCTACCGCTCCTTTGCTAAGTACCGTTCATCATTAAGATTTTCTACTTTGAAATGAATTTACGTTTAAGTTATCTTCAGTATTCTCCTTTTCAGTATCGAAGTTCCCAGAGTTTTGTCCTGTAAAAATTGGGATGGTTCAACATGCATCAGCTGATACAAATGATAGTGTTCATTTGAACCAAGCTGATCGTTCAGATTCAAATGAATTCTTATTTCAAAATTACCCTATGATACAAGAAAAATATGGGATAAATATACATATTCCTAGACAGAGCTTCTGTCTTATTTATGTAAATGGGCGTCATATTCAAATGTTCACTTATAACTGGACAAAAGAAGAAGCTGAACGTATGTCAAACCGCTTACTATTGTCTGTTGAATGGTATAATCAACGTTACCAGGTAATTTTCTCCCCTTTCATTTTATTCACTTAAGCCATTCGTTTTCCATAGGATTCAACAAGTTATTAATGTTCCTGATTAGAAGTTAGCATCAACAAAATATCTGTTTAGAACTTCATGTTTTTCCTTACCTCTTTATTAATTTATGAGAATTTACTTATCACTGTAATTTATATTCCTTATTAATTTGGTTCAAATGAGAAGTGATGGTAATGACTTCAGAATAATCAGCTACTGATTTTTTAACAGCATCGTCCACCATAGTACTTCGCTGATCATTTATATTCAGTGATCTCCAGATATTGAAAATCATCGCCTCCTATTCTCATTATATAAAGATATCTATTCGAACCACCTATCACTGTAATTCATCTGAAAATCTCAGATTGACACACACAAATACTGTGATTATGATGAAGCCAAGTTAATGGTACCCTGATTGTCATTAAAGAGGAAATTTCATAGGGTATCTTTAACACAGCACACAATTGTGATAGACAGAGAGTTGAAATTCCATCGGTGATTACGAATATTTTTCTAAGTAATCAACTATCTTTTGTCGTAAATACGATTAGAATCCCTATAAATGACTCTGTTCTATATCTGCTAAGTTTAAGTCTTGAAATTTGAGGATATTAAGCGAATAACAATCCGAATGAACTATGTTATTATTATTTTAAATCGATAAGTAAATATCGGTCTTTGTATACCACATTTTACTGTAAAAGCATCAGGTTGTTTTACTCACTTATTTTAGTATAAATAAAAGTTTATTCAGGATAGTTTGTTGTAGTTGAAATAAAGTGTCAACTTCATCAGTTGATATCCTTGGAATTTTTCTAGCGTTACGGTATAAATGAATTTACTTAAGTTAAATAGACTTTATTTAGATCCCCGTTTTTATTGGCTTACTGTTTCGTTACTGAGCTTATCTCTCTACTTCATTCAATCTATTCGCCTAGCTTTTATGTTCACTATCATTTCAAAAATTGGGCTTGTTTCATGCAATCAATAATTCAGCTTTTCGAGGTTGTGCTGTTCGTGCTATGGATTTGATACGAAATACATGCCCTCCTGAGTTAAACATTAGTACGGATTCTCCGTGTACAGCAGTTAGTCAGACCTCAAGTAACTTATATAATACTTCGCCTTTATCGTCAGTTTCATCTACACCCAATGCTCAAATTTCTGTATCAAGTGTTTCTATAAATATTCTATCAGCTGTTACTTCCGTTGCTCGCAGGCGACATGTCACACCATCCACAGTTGATACGAATACTAACTGTATTAACAGTAGTAATAGTTTTCACACTCCTTCCTCACCTGCCTTTCAAACTCATTCATTATCTCTCCATGGAACAAACAATTCACGGATGGAATTTAAGGAACATAAAAGTATCAACAACTTCTTACGACTGTTTCAAGTAAGTTTATCCCCTTTTTACTCTTTCGTAATACATTCCGGATCGTCGGCGTGAATGCATTTTATTTTGTCTTCGAATGATTAAATAATTAGTAGGAGCCTTTAGTCCTCTAAGTCACTATAAAACACTAGTCATTGGTGTACTACTAATTACTCTCAAATATCGTAAAACTCCACATAACTTTGCTGTGGCTGTTCTGTTGTCTGATCTATGCAATATATTCAGCTTTGAGAAATAAAGCACGATTTCGATTAACATCTAGGTTAACTGTGTTTCTATAATAAGAATACGGATAGCGTTTCACTGATATTCTCCATAATTTCTCGTTTGGGCGCGTATGTCGTAGAAGTTAATCACTCTATGTAATGTTCATCAGGATTTGATGCTTGAGCAATACTATGTTTCCTCATCAAAACCTAACGATCACAACCGAAAGTAATACTTTTGCAGAAAAATTATTTTTGATGTTTATTTTCTTTCTAATGTAGTGAAAATTCCGATTTTGAAAAAGTGTAGAGCCTTGGTGGAAAACTAATTGAAAAAAAGCTTTTTTACTCAATTCGTTCCTTCCTTATTTTCTTTCTGTTTAACGTTTTCTTGTGACTTGGAATATAGCTGGGTGCAGATACATCAGGAACGTTTTCAGATGTGTGTTAATCTCGAAATATCCTCAAATTCTGAAATATATACCATTGCTAACATAGGTATGTGTCTAAATCTAACTTTATCATGAGTCTATCGGAATATCAGTTAACGCTTGATTGAGAGAGCTGGTAATATTAAATTAACATCTGAAGTAAACAACTCAAAGTGTCTGAATTTACGGTAAGGATGAATTAAAAGCAGTCAGCTGTCAGTGAGATTTTCATCAGAACACGAATTGTTAATTCTCTTTTGGAGCCAACCTATATTGTCACAGGGGAGTTTGTACCTCATCTACCCTAACCATTCACATTAGAAGAAATGGGCATTCATATGGAATAGTTTCTTATATGTCTTGTCTCAACTATATATTTTGCCAGTCATCATCAAGAGACCGATCTATCCTTTACGAACAGATAATAATGAAAGCAGTCTCGAAATCAATAATGTTACTTAAAATAACTAGTTGACAATAAATAGAATGATTCTAACAACTATCATTTATTATGGCAATGTCATCAGTTCCCGATATATGATACAGGTGAGAGCTCAGTGCGGTACAATTTCCAGTATTTAGAATCGATTTCCAGTCTTCAGGATTTTGTAACGTACCTTGACTTTCAGATCTGTCATATACTAGAATATTCATGCAATTGCTCAGTCTTTTTCACTGAGTTTTCCGTTTAAAGCATTTGCTATGAGTTTGATAGAAGCGTAGTTTTTGCTAAAACCATCTTTCAGACTTCAATCAACCTCGAATTCTTATTGATTCTATTAGTTATACTATTAAAAGCGATTATTAATTATCGGTTATCACAGCGATCTTAATCATCACAAAGTTTATTCTGACTGTTATGTCCCGATAGGGATAATGAATGGTGGCTTTGGGATCTATTTATGAGTCAATACTGTGCATATATTTTTTATCGTATAATTGCTAAATAACTAAACTTTTTTCAAAGTTGAAATCATGAGTCAATTGAAGCTAGACCACCATCGAAAACCTGGAAGCACTGGACGGCCGTTTCGTCCTATTATGGGACTCCTCAGCTTCAATTGACTCATGATTTCAACTTTGAAATATACTGAAATCTCCACAAATCCCCTTCTGATTACAAACTAAACTTTTCTTATCATGTTCCCCTTATCATGAGCTTTATTTTGAATTATAACGTATTATTATACGACTTACAATTCATGAATTAAACCCAGTCTACTAATTACTGTTCCCCCTATTCACAGCCACATTGGCTAAATCTTGTACAAATGTTATTTCTTATTTTATGATGCGATGTGGTCAGTTTGATCGGTATATAAACCCAGTATGTTTGAGAATAATGATTAATATTGCAGAGACTGTTACTGGTGTTCTAGACTTAACTAGCTGGGTTAGGCAGAAAGCAGGACTGATAAGTACTCAAAACTGCTCATACGGCTTTTGTTTGTCATTGCTCTGATCGATAATTCACTCCTCTCTAATTGGCGGAGATCATCATGTCATACATTAAACAGGGCATTCAAGCAATCGATTAAACAGACTGTGATTCTCTAAAACATTCCGTTATTTACGTTCTAAATTTTTTGACATATACTACCGCTTGCTTTCGTGAATATGGCAATCTTTGTTTTATTTTATGCTTTATTAGGTGTATACCTGTTCTGTTCAGTTTTCTGATATTCTAGCTAATAATTTTAATTAATAAATCTACGTGTTTGGGACCAAGATCATTCTGCATATATGTCACATTTTTTCGTTTGCCTAGTTTGCACGTCCCAATTCATGAATTCGTTATTGTAGAGACACTGGCAATTCTATATTCCTCTACTATTTCAAGTAACTATCATCTACTGCCTAACTCAAAGGCACAAAATGTTTTCTAAACCTGTTTTAGCTATATGACTTATTTCCATGGCAATATTTGTTGTATACAGGATGGTTATCATCCTCATCATTCTTACATCTCTTCTGAACTCACTATTTTTTTATTTAAAAAATTTCAGGACTGTGGTTATATACCTCCTTTGGTACCACCTAGTAATCCAAACTTACCATACATTGATATGTTACAACGGTACAGTGAACAAGCCTTAACGCTAATGCATGCTGATATTCGGCGATCTCAGTATATCGAATTGTTCAGTGAATATTTTAGAAATTGGCAAGAAGGTGGTAAAAACAATATAGCAAATAAAGAGTCAAATCCAGTAAAATCTTTACCACTGAACAAGGATACTGGACAGAAGTTTTCTCATTCTAAGTCTGCAGTGGGGTCTGTGAGTGTGATAAAAAATTTTCATAATAGCATACTTATATTTCAAACTGTTACTACTACTATTAATACCAGTAATTGGCTCATTTTCAATGCATAAACAATGTTTAACAATTATGTGAACTAATCGTAATGAGTATCATGTATTCATACTTCATACACCACAAAATATCAGGAAGAGTTTTCAGTACCTTGAAAATTTACTGTCTTTGTACTCTGATGTTGCTAATTTTTTGCATCGAACGAATTGGAGAAAAATGAAAATTCCACTTTTGTTGCATATGATCTCACACGCTTAACCCGTACACTCAGCGTCACAACAAGTGACTGATGTCTGAACTACTTGATGTTTAAATTATTTTCCGGTCATATATCTACATAATACTCCATAGATTTCTATACATTTTGATCATTTTACTAAGAAAAGTGTTGACTTTATGGTGAAAGCGCTTCGCTCTCAACCACTAGGTTGGAGGTTCAAACCCAGATCCACTTCCTTCGATTTGGCCAACCCAGTGTGTATGTGGCTCATGGCCAATTACACAATACTGTTCATGGTAGGTGTGTTGGAATAATCATTTCAACTAAATGAGTGTGCATGTGAATATTTCAAACAGTATGCACCTAATTTGTGTGATGAACATAATTAAAAAAAGATTTTCATCGTCTTCGGTTTACTGTGTTTGCCCTCATATTTGTTAATATTTACGGATTAAACATACTATAATTTAGATGTTTACAAAGCCATTAAAATATTTTGACAAGAGTTTACACGGGACCATAATTCATTGAGAGAGGGTTATATTATTTTGTTTTTTCTACTTGAACGATAGGTTTGTGATAATTTAACCTTTTTTGTCGTAGCGCTGCTGACTTCCAGTGATCTGATGCAGTTACCGAAGTGCTGTATGGTGGGATATCTAAAATGTTGATGCAATTTTTGTCTTGTGCGGACGACTATGCAATGCAAATTATGTAGAGACATAAAATTGACAACAACATTTTCTAAATGGTTATTCGTTTTAGGATTTACTTGTGTATCATATATGCTCCTAGTTAATAACTATACAACTTCTAACAATTTCAGTTCGAAATGTCATCCCACTCAATCCTCTCTTTATATGAAATGCAGCCGTTAGATTTTGGCGGAGTAGGCATTTTGACTAGGTAGTTGTTTTCGTTTGTACTGCGTTCTCTGAATTATATGTAACAATTGCTGTCCATTCATTGTCGTTCTGGAAAGTTATTATATTATTATTAGCTTTATTCAGTACTATATTTTTGGTACAATACAGAATTCTCAGCACAAAGTACTTCAACAAGTTTCCGTTTCTTACTTCTTGATCAATCCTGACGATAAGTATTAGGTGGTCGCCAGTTAGAAGTTAGCAGTCCAGGAATCGACATCTGAATAATGTACATTCTTTTCACTGAATATTACCAGCAAACACGATGTCTCTGATTGGGCTTTTTTGTGACTTGTGCAGTGAAAGATTGTAAACTTTTCATAAACGCACCTGAATAGGCTGTGCGATTAGTAAACATAATGATGTGTTAAAACAAGCAAAAACAGATAACTTGTTGAAATATCTAGAGAACAGAAACAGGCAGCGCAGATGTTCAAGCAGTCTGCCTACTTCTTGTAGGCGCCTACAAACAGTAAAGTCCAATTTTTATTGCGCAAATCATGTACAAGAGGGAACGTTAGTCGGTAATTACGATTCTGCTAAGTGCAACTTGCTCGTCATAGTAACTGAGTTATCCTAATTTTTCAGAACTGTTCCTTTTAGGCAGCAAGTTAACAATAAAATTTCATATGGTCCATTGTGATCTATGTTCATCACCTTCCTTCTCTTAACTGTGTTGAGCGATGGTACAGTGGTTAAAACGTCCTACTTTCAGCCACTACGTCGCGGGTTCGAACCCCCTTCTACCTTAGGTTCTGGAAACCGGCTAGTGTCGATAGACTTTGCACTTAAAGTGTGGTTTGAAAAGTCAGGTGCATAAATCTGTAACAGGTAAGTTAATAAAAAGTTCTTTTAAGGTTACATAGACATAGAATTAAGCTTGAGCAAATATTCTGTAAGTTACAATGACTTGTTATTTCTCATAATCTTCTCATTCCTTTCCGTATGTGTTACTATAACTATATATTGTATGTCTTCCTTTGACTCACTCAAGAATTTTAGGGATGTATTGCAACATTATGCTATCATGTTTTCTAGATACACTTGACATCACAATTCCGTTCATATATTTCGCATTCTCTAGAACTCATTGATCGAAATCGCATGTTCACTAAAACCCAGACTTGTTTCTTTTTCTATCATCACCTTCATGATCTATCGGTCAGTACTTTCGAAAACTACTGTTTGCTGCTATTCGCAAATTCAATACTGCCATATTGTTTTTTTAACTTAAAGGATTTATCTTGTGACCATTTCAAGGCGATCAGTCATTATCTCATCAAAAATTCCTGAATTTCAATAAGTAGCATATAAGTTACCATAAGATCATTATATCACTTTGTTCAGTAGGTGAGTTATTTTCAGTTACCCGATCAACCATAAATACAATCTCTTTGTAATCAGTAGTGAATATTGTCTGTAAAAACGTTTGTATATGAACCTCTGTAATAAAGTTCATTTTTCCATATTCTCAACGGATGAACATAACCTTTGTGTTCTTGTAGTGGTTTTAGGTATCTTAAAATGTAAGATTTGCTATACCTAATCTTGACTGATCAGTCATTTGAGTGGGTTCCTATTGTGTATATTGATGATGCTATGCTAAGACATTTTATACAACCATGTCTAACTGGAGATGGATGTCACAATGATTATTTGCTTTTCGGCCATTCCTAAATATAGTTAATTACTATTTTGTATTACAGTATTGCCTGTTGGAGTTTATATATTACCAGTCTTCTGAACACATATCTTATTCTCTCCCAATGCAATTTTCGCTTGATATGATTAGGCTAAGGAACTTCTGCTCAGTGATCAACTGTCCAAACGGCTACAACGTTATTCGGCTATTAAACAAGCCTGTCGTCACTTGCACACTATATGTACTCCCATATTATTTTGTCCTAATACACGTTCAAAAGTTGTTCAGCTAATTAAAGAAGAAGAAAATGCTATGAATAAAACAGCTCAGTTATACTTCAGTTCTATTTCACATCATTCTCCTTCAGCCACACCTACGGACGTCACTGTTACTTCTGCCACTAATACCGATTCTACCATTGCTGATTTAAAAGTACATAAAGAAATAAGTGATTCGGACAAAATGCATTACCATACCGAACAAGCTACAAACCAGTGTAAATCCATTGGAAATGAATTTGGCTCTTCAAAGGAGTAAGTTATAGAATTTATCTGTTTCTGTTTAATTTTGAAATTGCATAATTCATTCAAATTAAAACATTTTGAATCAATAAGTGAATTCTTCTATGAAGTAAGATATCCTACAATAAGGAATTAATAACCTTAGACCTTTTTTCGACTTAAAATAGAGCAAATCTTCTATAAGAGGCAATCAATGGAGTTGTTTAGAGATATAAAAATGAAAAAGTTAAGTCTTAATAGTCATCTTTTCGTTTGAACGGTTTAGATTTTTTGGAAATCTCTATACAAAACAAAAGATAAAAAATACGTAGGTGAAGTGATTCCTAAGTATTTGCTCCTAAATTGAAATTACAATGGCATTTGTTCAATGGTCTAGTTACTAGTTATTGAAATGAATTGATTAGCTGATTTTGAAGTGAATTTGCATGTAATTCAGATCCTAACATACCAAAAGTTTGAAGTTTTTGGTTTAATATATGACAGAGTTATTAGTTCTTTATGAACAAAATGAGAATTTTTAGAGCTCTTTACTTTGTAATAATCTTAGATATATTTCAGTTGTTGTCGTAAATGAATTGGCCTTTAATCAAATTTTAATTTCTCAAAAATTTTCAGTTTTTCTGTAAAGTCAACTCCTGTGAAACTAAAACAAGTATCGGACGCCAGTGGGAGTCGTTTTTTATCCCCATGGCTAAGTTGGTCACACAATTCAGCTACTCCGGGTAATCTTGATGACACAAATATACTTTCAACGGATATCTTACTTGCTGATAACAATTCATGTGCTGAAAATTCTCAACATCAAGATAATAGTTTTACTTCCGTTTTAAACTTCAATAATTGGTTACGTCGTGTAGCTCACCAATTTCTAATGAAATATTCTCAATATTTGCAACAAGAAGTAGGCTTTCATTCAATACCAATTCTCAATAGTTCTATTTCATTAAATAGACGTGAACAGGCGGCAAGACCTAATGTTAGCTATGCACTGTTTCGTCGTTCTATACACTTAGCTGGAGTACATATTATTGAGGTTAGTTGCTTCATATTTAACATGATAACTGTGAGACTAGCCCTCAATATTCTCTCACTTTTCTTAACTTCACTATGAATTTGTGTTTAGATAACTGGAAAACGTGTTTTTTAATCCTATAACGATGCGTCCGAAAATTGCTATGCCTACTCCTATTTTAATCATCAAAGAATTTCGTCTCTCTTATTTTCTTTTTTTTGAAAACTACGTTCTTCGTGCGAGCTAGTAATAAATGTGTAATGAGAAGATGAAATTGATGTGAGAAAAACGTACTATGATATAATGTGATGATGCCCACTATGTTTTAAATAATGCGGTCACCAACGTTTTTGTTTGAGATTTTATAATCGATCTAAGAAAGACCGATTAAATAAAAAGTGATGATTAGATTTACTGATGAGTGAGAATGAGAGACGGTTTCATATATTCCACATAACACAATATGAAACCTAGTTTATGATTGATGAGGTGTTTTATTAGCATTATATTTAATTATCATCCTTATATACTTTCGTTTTAACTACTTCGGTTTCATCGCCCCTTTTTTCTTAAAAACATTTATCAAACTACTTTTAAGTAGTATAAATAACTGTAGACCAAAATAACCCATCAAAATTGTTCTTTGAGCTATTGAGCCTAATATTTACCTACCTTTTCAGGAACTTCACTCTACCTGACTAAAAATTTCTTCCCACGTCACTCTTACTGAAATAGTTCAAGTCAAATGGATTGGTGTCAGTATGCATAGTTATCATCAAATTTAACCTATTGTTACCCTTGCTTCCATAATATAGAATTTGTAGTGTATGCCTGCTAATCCTTTTTTGGTTTACATTACTGCTGAACGACATTCTGAACTAATTATTGAACTTAATTCAAAATTACTGAGTTATGTTTTGACAAAGCAAGTTTCTATTTTTTCACTTTATTCCTTTTTTGTCATGGCATTTGTGATCTTAGACCAACCAATGCCTACTCTGCCACACGGTACTGGCCAGCACAGAAGCTGTTTGGAAAAACATCAGACTTAACCAAAACAAGGCACAGCATCAGTTTATCAAGCCTTTAACTTTTGGTTTGACCCATGTATCGAGATATAGGGATCCCTATTAGAACTCACGTGATAATTGTAATCTGTAGCTAGAGGTTTTAATGATATGTCTCCAAGTTGGCTTCAATGAAATGGCTGTATTCATTATCTACATTTCATTCTGCTCTTTTTATCCCTACATCTCACTAGTTCTGTTTCAAATATATTTCTCAAGTTTAGCTTTCCATTCCATTTAATAATTTTTTTCCTTTGCTTTTCATCTCATCTTGTTGATTCCCTCTCTTACAGCGTGAATGTTGAGGTGTAGAAACTTGGATACGTTCGTTCCAGGTCCTAAGTATTCTGTTTTACTTGCAAACTAACTTCATTACTTCCTTCGGACAACTGAGAGAATCTTCAATCTAGTTCACTTAGGTCATTAAAACATACAAGAAATTTAACCACCTTGCGCTATTACTAAATTTTCATATATATAATTAGAATTTGTTGGGTTTTCTCAACAGTAACTTCGTATACATAATACAGGAAACTTAACCTCAGTTTTCGACTATTTTGATTATTGTCTAGGGGCATGATTTTCAGAAAATATTTGGATATCTGTAATAAAGTGAGAAAACCTCATTTCAGTACATCAAAACCTTGTCGAACTGAGTTTTTCTGAATGTTTAAGCCATTCAGTTGTTTATTTTATTTTTGTAAACATAATTAGATTATTTAGAGCTCCACGGGGAGGGATTTAGCTTCATATTTTCAAACACATTTTATTTGTCTTTGTTAAATCTCGATAATTGTTCGTGAGAGCCACTAAGAAGCCGAAAATCGTCTGATATACTTTGAATCAGCCAAGATATCTGATGATTTCTAGTAAATTACAGAACTTTGGACGTTTATGCTTTTCTTAATCAAGTTGATCTGACAGTTAAGCTGTTAGCTATTTTAGTATGTTTTTCATAAGGCTTTTCAGGTTTTAGGTCGCTCCTAACAGCTGTATTGATGACCCCTAATTTCTGTAACGAAACTAACCTTAAAAGAAAGCTTCAGTTATATTCCAGCCTTCAAAACTGTTCCGGTTTCAAATGTTGTGAATCGATTGAATTTCAGAGACCGGATAAAACGTCAGCATTGGAAGCTTTCTGTGTACGTAATGATAATAACTTAAGGTAATCATGGCGCATTGTTATTCTTGATGTGGATTCATTACAAAATCACTTCAACACTAACCTCTAGGTAATCACACAAGTCGGATTTATAGAAATCTGGAATGTTTACCCCAATGCTAGGCAAATATAGACAACATAGTGTTAATAAATATTTGTTTGGTGAATGATAGTAGTGATTACAATTAGCCTGTAAGTTTCAAACTCAGCACGTCTGTAAAACTGGAATATACAACTGATTAAAATGTCATCATCCTTGCGGTCCGCTTTATGAACTATCAATTTCCTACATTTTGTTATAAATTGCATGATAATACTTCTTAACTCGTAATTGTGTGTTATGCTGTTTGTATTATTTAGATAATTGTCAATTGTTTCTTATTTACTTCAGCTGTTTGTCCGCGATTTTCATCTGTTCGTTAGATTGGGTACCATTGAAGTTAGTCGTTTTAGTTGGCATGCTTCACGTTCTGTAACACTTGGGCCGTATACTTCTGAAGTGATCTCTCAAACGGCAGCATCAGCTGCAGCCAGTATGACATCAGTTATGTTCAATGCAGTTTTCCGTCGAAATATGGAGAGGTCATTTCGTTTGCCTAGTGCTAATTCTTTTGATATCATATCTAATCCATCAGATGGGAAGTATTCTGATTGGTTTGAGTATAGTAGTAATCTTTCGTGGAACGAATCAAGTAAACTCTGTGATTACACACATCTCCATTCATTTTCGTACGACTTTCATTTGCGCGCAATTCAAGATTATTTAGAAAGTGAGTTTTTCATTGTTTACTCCAAATAATCCAGGTATTATGTGTTGTTATTTCATTTAGTCGATTGTAATTTATAGATAACCAATAAAATAAACCGCTTTTGCACATAGATTCTTGTTCAAATGACTATATCTTAAATCGCAACGGATATTTCCATTTTTCAGAACATATATGTCGGTATCCGAAGTCAGTAGTATCGTGTGGTTACAAAAATCAGACCAGACTTTGAATTTTCGAGGAAAAGCGTTCTAATCAGTTCTTCGAGGGCGATAGATAGAAAAAGAAACAATCAAATAATACTCTCCTTATAACCACTGTTAACCTTCAAGAATGTGTGCGTTTTATTGTCAACGTACCATATTTTTTCACTGAACAAGTTAATATTGATCTTCATTTATAGTTTAGATATAAATAATCACAGCATCACTGAACACTTCCTTACATACTTACTTCTGTTACTTCGAGTGGAGGGTCATAGGCCACCCACCAGCATTTTCCATCCACTTCTGTCCTCGACAATCATTTCCAGTTGCTATTCATCCTTTTCATGTCTGCTTCCGATTCCCGACGTAGTGTGTTCTTCAGCCTTCCTCTTTTTCGTTCCCCTTCAGGATTCCAAGTTAGGACTTACCTCGTGATGCAGCTTGGTGATTTTCGTAATGTATGTTCTATTCACCTCTAACCTGTTTCCCTAATTTCCTCTTCAGTTGGAAGTTGGTTTGTTCTCTTCCAAAGTAGGCTGTTGCTGATGGTATCCGGTCAACGGACATCCAGTGTCTTGCGTAGACAATTGTTTACAAATACTAGCACCTTTTTGATGGTGGTTGTAGTAGTTTTGCAAGTTCCAGCTCCGTACAGTAGAAATATCTCGACGTTCGTATTAAAGATTCTGACTTTGATGTTGGTTGACAGTTGTTTTGAGTTCCATATGTTCCATAATTGTAGGAATACTGATCTCGCTTTGAAAACCCTTACCTTTATGTCTGCATCAGATCCCCTTTGTTCATCGATGATACTGCTCTAGGTAAGTCAAAGTTTCCACCTCTTCCAGAGTTTCTCCATTAATTGTGATTGGTTTCGTGTTCTCCGTGTTGTATTTGATGATGTTGCGTTTTCCTTTGTGTATGTTGAGGTCTACTTTCCGGATGGAAGTCATATGACGTGATAATGAGTAGTGTACAGCTGAAGAGCGTGGACAAGGTACTTGAAGTGTCATCCACTCCAATACACTCTAGAGGATGTAATTCTCGCTATGAGAAGCAAAGGAAGGATTCACGTCTCATATAATTATGATCAGCTATTGATGCAGGAGCTGCTGCTACACTAGTTGTCTTCATCCGCATTTGTTGGTGTATTCAAGATTTCTTCAAATTGATCTACCCACCTGTTCCGTTTTTCTATGATTTCAGTGGTTGTCTTGCCTTGTTTTTTTTTTGACCGTTCTCTCTGGTTTACTATATTTCTCTGCTAGTTTCTTCGTTGTATCACAAGTAGGCTAGGAGATGGATCGATTTTTCTGATGGGTAGGGTTGTATATATATAAATGAATATTTGTGAATTTAAACGGTAGCAAAATATATTTTTTCGTCCTGTCTTGTGTTTTCACTCAAGTAATCGATGGGTGGTTGGCGTGTAGCACACTGGGCATCAATATCAGGTTTCTGATACCGCCCATCATAGCAAATTGTTGCTGTGGTTGTCAGAAGGGACATCGGTCTTGTAATCTCCGAAAGATCTTGGCTCTCACTATGAGGCGTTATAACTCTTCTAAATGAAGATCCTTCAACTCCCAGGAAACAGATTAAGTAATTTTTTGCTAGTTGACGTTTTTTTGGCAAGTTTTTTTCTAGGAGTTGGAGTGTCTGACCCATTGCCGAGTCCTCCTTCTTTACTCGGGCTCGTGCCGGTCAGTAACTGTAGAAGAGCTTCAGATGGAACTGAAATATAAAGTTTTAATGGCCTTTTAGTAAAGTGTTAAAAGCATTATCACTTCATCTACAAAAGAGTACACTGGTAATTCAAGTGTCCACTTTTGTTGAAAAAAATGTTTTTGTAACTATACGGATGGAAACTTGTCAATCGGTCTTTTTTCCAGTGGTGGAAGTCAAGATAATCAACATTTATTCATCTTGTTAGTTTAATAACTAAATGTTATGCCTGTGCTACTTATTTTGTATGATTACATACTTATGTATTCATTGTGGAATATTCGTTGTCATTCGTCAAAAATACATGTTAGTACTAGTGAAGCAGTTTCGGTCCCTATCGCCAGCGAAAATGTCTTCTAGTTGAGATTTTTTCTGATCCATTCAAAACGCACTTGAACATTATTTTCATTATTTCTCTTCCAGATTGCTATATTGATTCTTTTTTTATATTTCTTCCTATACAACATATTTGCCATGCTGTGTGGCTTCTTTACATTCAATCCGGATAGTGAATAGTGTAATCGCTTTTGTGTCTTCCAAAACAGTTAAGTAATTTTTTGATGTTATACAACGGTAATGACTGAATCCCATGTCGCGGAATCCTTTTTTACCGTTGAGTTCTCTTTTGTTTGTCGGTTACTCCTTTTAACTTAGATCGACGGTGCTTTCAACGAAGTCAGTGTTCTGATGCATCACGTAGACCAACTAGTGCAGTTGGAAGTGTATATTCTAATGTGATTACCATTCCTGACTACCCTGTCACAAAATTTCTAGAAGATTTGACCTGTATCGCTCAAAAATTACCACTCTTTTCTCGGGGTTACTTGTGCTGCTTTCCTGTTACATGCCACGTTAGTTTATGTCTGCGACCAGACCAAGTTTTTCATCATCTTATCGAAGAACACGCTTCTTACGGTGTAGATGTAAGTTAAAATAAAGACTGTAATCATATTTGATTATTAAATCACTTTTGCATTTACGGCTTTCTGGAATCATATTCTCTGCACAATCTTCTTTTCGTATAACTGATACCACTTGTTATGACTTTATAAAAAAAGACAAGGGACGTATGCTAATTCGTTATTGATTTTTATGTCCGACTTTTTATCACGTGAATTATCCACTAATCGAAATACGACTTTTCTAATACTGACAAATCAATGACGTTCGACCAGTATGAGTAGTCTAGCGTCCTTATTGGTCCCTTTGTCTGCCTAGCTCTTCCAATTGAGTCCACAACACCAATTACAGCTTCAGCTGTGCGAATCTATGCGAATCATTTATTTCAAGAATACTCGGTTCATATACCAGCCAAACATACCGCATCACACGACAAAATAGAAAATAATATTTGTACAAGATCAAGCCAAATGTGGCTGTGAACATGGGATACAGTAATCAATAAACTGAACATAATTTGGGAACAGTAATTCGTACAGTAATAATCCATAGGTCAAAATGAAGCTTATAATAAGAGGAATGTAGATATACACAATCTAATTACTCAATAATTAAACTAAGAATATATATAGAATAATAGTCCATTAATATGTCCTGAGAGTTATCCGTACTTTTGTCTTCGCTAAGATATAACACTACCAATTATACTACAATACTTATTTTGGTACTTCTGTCTCAAAGTATTAATTTTTTGTGGCAACCACCCACCGACTACTTGAGTGAAAACACAAGACAGGACGAAAAAATATATTTTGCTACCGTTTAAATTCACAAATATTCATTTATATATATACAACCCTACCCATCAGAAAAATCGATCCATCTCCTAGCCTACTTGTGATACAACGAAGAAACTAGCAGAGAAATATAGTAAACCAGAGAGAACGGTCAAAAAAAAAACAAGGCAAGACAACCACTGAAATCATAGAAAAACGGAACAGGTGGGTAGATCAATTTGAAGAAATCTTGAATACACCAACAAATGCGGATGAAGACAACTAGTGTAGCAGCAGCTCCTGCATCAATAGCTGATCATAATTATATGAGACGTGAATCCTTCCTTTGCTTCTCATAGCGAGAATTACATCCTCTAGAGTGTATTGGAGTGGATGACACTTCAAGTACCTTGTCCACGCTCTTCAGCTGTACACTACTCATTATCACGTCATATGACTTCCATCCGGAAAGTAGACCTCAACATACACAAAGGAAAACGCAACATCATCAAATACAACACGGAGAACACGAAACCAATCACAATTAATGGAGAAACTCTGGAAGAGGTGGAAACTTTGACTTACCTAGAGCAGTATCATCGATGAACAAAGGGGATCTGATGCAGACATAAAGGTAAGGGTTTTCAAAGCGAGATCAGTATTCCTACAATTATGGAACATATGGAACTCAAAACAACTGTCAACCAACATCAAAGTCAGAATCTTTAATACGAACGTCGAGATATTTCTACTGTACGGAGCTGGAACTTGCAAAACTACTACAACCACCATCAAAAAGGTGCTAGTATTTGTAAACAATTGTCTACGCAAGACACTGGATGTCCGTTGACCGGATACCATCAGCAACAGCCTACTTTGGAAGAGAACAAACCAACTTCCAACTGAAGAGGAAATTAGGGAAACAGGTTAGAGGTGAATAGAACATACATTACGAAAATCACCAAGCTGCATCACGAGGTAAGTCCTAACTTGGAATCCTGAAGGGGAACGAAAAAGAGGAAGGCTGAAGAACACACTACGTCGGGAATCGGAAGCAGACATGAAAAGGATGAATAGCAACTGGAAATGATTGTCGAGGAAAGAAGTGGATGGAAAATGCTGGTGGGTGGCCTTTGATCTACCACGAGTGTTAATAGGTTTATGTATGTAAGTATTACTACAGAAGTTTGACCGGAGGAACTTAAGAAATTGACGAGAATTTTGATGAATCTCGAAAATGAAACCTCTACTGATGACATGATACTCGCAACACAATGTTTCCTGATTATCTAAGTGTTAGAAGAAACTGAGAAACCGATTCCATCATACTTTGCATTTTGTCGTCAAGTATATTTTTGGTTCCTCAGTATCTGTTTTCTTGATTCTCTGTTGCTCAATACTTTTCGACCTTAGTTAATAGATATGATGACTGATGGTTATTATAAAGTTCAGTATTTATTTGTCTATACTCTTTGTATGAAGGTAAATGGCTCATATCGCATTGTGTAACATTTTGGGAGTACTTAAAGTGCACACTTCAGTATTATATTACTTAATAAAACTAATTCATGCAAATATATAAGAAGTTTTCGTTCACGTTTTATGACAATATAATCAAACCGTTTGTGTGAAGTAGTTTTATCCCATACATTTGCTTTTTCTGTTAAAATAGATTCTTCGCATGACTAGAAGGGAATATAGTGCTTCGCAAACGAATCCACCATATAACAAACATTTATCATATAATTTTGCTTTAGTTGAGCAATGTCATCCTGAACAGGAATTTGGATGTTGTAGTTCACGTTCAGCCAGTTCAGATCATCATTCAAAATATCAACCATGTTCGAATTTAAGAATATCTTCTGAATCGAATTCTTCCTCTACCACTAATAGCAAAGATCAGTCGTGTAAATTTTCCGCTTTGGGCATAGCAAGTGCACATCACATTGTTGAGAATTTAACAAAACTTGATAGTGAACTTTCTAATAGACAGTCGATATCCCAACCTTATTCAGTAACGGGAATTGTTGTTCCTGATGAAGTTAACGGAACCTATTCGGATATTAGATCGCCGGTAGATGGATCTATTACAAATAGACTACTTCATTTGATTGTATATCTAATTATTCTAGATTCAAAACATGAATTTCCGGAATCTAGACTTGCAAAATTAAATTCAAGTTCGTGTACACAAGTGAGTTTTTTTAAAATAATTTAATATCTGTCGTAAAATTTGCGTTGTCAAATAAAATTTATTTACTTGGTTAGTAATATTAGCAACATCTCTTTCTGACAAGTCAACTTAATGTTTGGGACATTGCACAAGAGGATGTCTTATTATTATGAGTTAGTATCTCAGAATGCAATTTAAGTTGTCCAGTCTGTTGAATTGGAAAGTAATTTAAAACAGTTAGAATATTACTTTCGGAAATTATTAGTTTGATCTAAGAATTCGAAACATGTCTGTGTGCGTTTGTGTATAGATTATTAGCTTGAGGTGAACATTTGGCATTATTTTTCCACCTTCTTTCACTTGTGTTTTTTTCTTAAGTATTGATCTCTGGTACTTAGATTCAATAGTATATGTCTAAAGTGATATAAAATCAATATCATTAACAACGAGGTGAATATTGTAGAACATGATATGAATGTATATCGGTTTAGGCTATCACACTTCACCTCATCACAAGTGGGGATAACAGATTCTAGTCCGAGCAAACACTCTTATCATTAGTCACCAGTGCTTCGTAGATGTAAATATGCATTACACGTAATCAAATTATGTAACAATTTCAGTATTAGTTAATCAGATTCATTTTAGTTGTGTTGGCACTACCGTTAGGAGTAACATACACGTTATTGATCATTGAATAAAAAAACAATTATTTTACTCAGAGGCACCCTTTTGGTTCGAGAATAATTAATCTCAAGTTACTAAAAAATCTGCTGTTTTGATCACTATGACCAGCTCTGACCTGAGAGTGTTTGCTTTGTGTTCTTGAATATTTTCCAAGATCAGATTAAAAGATGGGAACAAACTACTTCAAGACCTTTAAAAATGTATGGTGAACTGCGAGTGTTGATATGTCTTGTCAAGACTTTCAAACTTGATAATGTTAAGTTTGCCGGCAATATTGTGGTGTGTTCGATCGATTATAGTGATAAGTGAAAGAACATGAATGGATTTTCTCTGATTTGTTGGTGTTCATCACATAGATAAATATCAATCGAAAGAGTTTAACGGATAAGAGGTTGCTCAATCTCGAAACTTAGCTTTAAAATATCCATAATATCTGGTGCAGTATCTAACTGCAATCAGATAGAATAACGTTTATGTATCCAGTGGTTTCACTATTTTATTGAGGATTTATCTGAGCCAATTACGATGTAAAAAAAGAATTTTGATTTCGTATTCAGCGTATTAGAGCCAAATTTATATTAGTGCTGATGAAGCTCTCAGTTTTCTCCAGTTAATAAAACTCTCAATAGTTATTATGTTACATATCAATCATAAGTATCAGTATAATTCTAAATATAATTTACAATGAATTATAAGCGCGAGTAAAAATTTGTGATCACATACTAGATTCTCTCGCGAATTGATACGTGATAACCCGATAATGGTTGAACTAGGTCAAATATGATTAAAATAATGAAGTGAAACCTAACTGTAAGTTTTCAAAATATCACATTGTATGGCTATTATTTTAGAAACAACGATCATCATCGATTTAACTTTCAATATTTTAAGAATAATAATGATAACTATTACTTTATTCTGAAGACTGGTTAATTTACGCTTGTACGAAATATGTAGAATTTCATTTTCTTTAATTAAAATGTACTTCGTTTTAGTTATCTTACTATCATCTTCTTTGTATACAGTATTCATAACAAAATCGTGCTATAATTTCATGGCATCTTAGTTTTAAGCTCAAACACTTTTCATCTAGTTAGCTGAGTCCTATTGTTATCTAACAAAAACACCTTAATTAATTTGGAACCTATGTAACTGGGTGGATGGAATACATACAATTTTTGTTTGTGCTTTTTGTTCAAACTTACCTGTACATGTTCTGAGCATTTTGTTCGTTTCACAGATATACAATTCATCGTATACTGTAGTTATTCTTTAGTGTTATTTTCCATTTAACCTAGTTTTATAAATTCTATTCAACAGTTACGTAGCTACCCAGAATGCATCGATTTTCGTCAAAATGTGCTTCTGCGTTGTAGTTTGGGATACTGCAACGTAAAATATTTGTTAGTTCGTTTAATAAATGAAAGAAAAGTATTAGTTTGTTTGTTCACAATAACCAGACATATCATGTTTCCCACTTCTTTACATTTCACCACTTTCTATTGAGATTATTGGGCAATACAAGATAATTAATTAATAGAGTACAGAAATCAGTAGAAAATATTTTATTTAGAAAAGACATTCCGATTTTTATTTTTGAGACAAAGCCTTCCTCACTGTAATAACACTTGATGATGGTTTCCACTATCGTCTAATCATCTTCATACATCGGCGTTCCAACATGTTTTAGTCAAATGTAATTTAAACTGAAAATTTTGTTAGTTTCTGCAGTCATAATGCTTTTCTATTTATTTGACCCAAGGTCTCCTTTGGTAAATTTTTCTGAAGTCATGCAGACCGATTATTTGTGCTGTCTCAGAGTAGGACTCTGAGATTCTATCAGCTCTGTCGTTATGCTAATTGCATCTATAGGTATTGCTGTAGCTGAAATCGGTTGCTTATAATCCCTCTGGACGGGCGTTTAGAATATTAAGGGGAATATACAGAGTGACAGTTGTTCTGAGTAAGATGTTGACATAAGTCATGGGAAGCTGTTACAAAGTCGAGACCAAGTGAAGCAACAGAATCCATTAACTCACTCGTAGTAATTATTATGGGTGGTAGTTATGAAATACTACTACTAATTATTTACTTGTTGTAGTGTAGAAACGGAAAGTAGCCGTTTCACATTGCTTTCGATCTCTGATCACTTAAGTTTAAAAGAGAGCCGTCGGTTCGCATGCAATATACTTTAAACTCTTCTCAATATTTAATCGTTTAGTCTATCTATACACTTGTCTTTCCTATTATCTTTCAGCATTTTGTATAAATTCGACAACTATCTATATAATTTATTTCACTTATAGCTCTTTTAATTCTAGATCAAAATTCCTTAACTATCTCAACCTTTTTAATTAGCATAGTTAACGCGTTCTGTCGGTTTTTAGTTGAAATGTTTTGTAAACCTAAATATTACTCTCCTATGTTTCTTTATCCTGAATGAATCTTGCAATGGTGTGTTTCATTATATTATTTTGACCTTCTAGACTTGCTTATCACAATGTCACAAGATTTATTTACAATTTTACTAATATTAGTAAAGATATTAATGACAGCAAATCAGAAAAATAATGTACATAACTCACTTTCTAAATAAACCAACGTAACAGTAGATTGAATGTAATATTTGAGAAATTTCTATTCATATGCACGCGTTATTTTATTCAATTACTTCAATGTTAAGATGAGCAATGAGTTCACCTTTGAGTCAATATACTAGCTATCATTTTTCTAGCCAAACTAGAAAATGGTCCACTCAAAAAATTATTCAAAAATTTACATTTTAATGTCGATATATGGATGATACCTTCAACCTCTGTAAAGATAATACATCACAGCAAGAGGTTCTTAGGCATTTTAACGACGTACATCCTGTCATTGAGTTTACATGTGAAGAAGAAAGTAGTGCTAGAATAGCCTTTTTGGACGTTCTCTTAATTTAATAGAGCTGATGGATTATCAAAAAGTAATTTAAACAGAAAAAATACCTGGATAGGACAGTACACACATTTCCTTAGCTTTGTACCTCTACAGTACAAGAGAAACCTGATCAAAACACTTAGTTACCGAATACGCATTATATGTTCTACGGATATAGTTGTAGAGCTAAACACCTTGCATAATACTCTTAGGGAGAACGGATACCCTAGAAAGTTTAATTAAATATACGATTACGAAGGTGTGAATAGGCAGAATACAAACGGTGAACAAGAAATCCCTGTTCATGCGCCTACAATTCAGAGGGAGTACGACTAGCGTAATATTAACTCACAGGTTAAGCAGAACAATCCAAAAATCTTTCAACGCTGGAGAACTACGACTAGTGTTTTCTACACACTTAGTGGTGACACCGAGGCTAAAAGATGAATTACGTAGAATGACCACCTCATTTTGTATTTATCAGTTTGACTGCTCCTGTGGAGCTAGTTATATTGCCCGAAGTTCTAGGAATTTACATTTTCGTGCTCGTGAACACCTCCCAGCGTGGCTTAACAAAGGTCTGGTGAAGAAAGTGAACAGCTCGATACTAACATATTTAGTGCAAACTGGTCATCCTCTTCAATTATTTATCGGGTCAGTAGTTTTCTGCCAAATCTTGTACTTACAACTTGTAACCTTTTACCCTTTTCAGTATATCACGTGACGATACCGCCAATTAGAGAACAGTGATTTATCGACCAAACCAATGACACATAAACCTGTAAGACCAGTATAGAGTCCTTATCGGTCATTCCTCCTGCCTAGCCCTGCACGTTGAGTCCAGAACACCAACTTCAGACTCTGCGATATGAATCATTTGTTTCAAACGTACTGAGTTTATATACAAACCAAACAGACCACATCATATCATAAAATGGAAAATAACATTTGTACAAGATTTAGCCAAAAGTCACTGTGAATGTGGGAGGTAATAACTGATAGACTGAGAATAACTCAACAACGGTAAATCGTATAATAATAGTTCATAGGTCAAAATAAACCTTATAATAAGAGAAACACAAATATGAATAGTTTAATTAATTAACAATTATACAATAAAAATATATGTATGATAATAATCCACAAATAGATTCCAACAGTTAAGATTCATTTTTTTCATTTGAATATAACACAGTAGTCATGTCGATGAAGAAACCTGAGCTATGCGTCCGAAAGAAATATCTTCAACCGTTTCTTCTATCCAGGTCGACATCTAGGCCAATTAATCAGTAGTAATCTTAGCTATTGAATAACCTAATTTGGCTATTGTATTTACGAGCTTGCGTAGTCAAATGTAATTGTCTCTGTTATCTTTATTCACAAATCTGCATTATTATTATTATTATTATTATTATTATTATTATTATTATTATTATTATTATTATTATTATTATTATTATTATTATTATTGGCTAAACATCATTATTAATCTCCCCAATACATGATTCATTTACTTCTCACTCATCCCACCTTATTATGTCTTACCAATAATTTTTTACACAATATAGTCTTCCACTAAACATTTTATCGAATTACAATTGCACGATTATTTCTCTCACCCTATCTGACTCATATTTATTCTGATCATGGGTCTTAAAATTTTCACTTAGAGTATAAGCTGATTCAAATGAACATTCTATGAGTCATAACAACATAACAATTTTATTTTAAATTCACTTGGTAAGTTCGAGTCCCAAAGTGAACATCAAATTTTGAGATGCAGGTACATCCGGCTGACGAGTCCCAAATAAGATAAAGCGTGCGTCCTGGATTCCGTTGCTAGCCACTATCCATCTTTGCTCATTCATTTTTTGTTTGATAATCTTAGATTCACATGCTTTAACTTTAAACGATACACTTTGACCTTAACCTGGCCACTTTTCGGATTATTAATTTGGATATATAATTGTAGAACCTGAAGAGAATTTATCGAAAACAATATTTTTATTAATTATCAGAAGGGGTTTTGTGGAGATTTAGTATTTTTTATAGTTGAAAGCGTTAGTCAATTGAAGCTAGACCACCATGGAAAACCTGGAAACACTGGACGGCCGTTTCGTCCTATTATGGGACTCCTCAGCAGTGCGCATCCACGAACCCGCTCTCGCGAGATTCGAACCCAGGACAGTTCAAATATTAGTCTTTCAATAGAAAAATGAACTAAGTGTAACGATTTCTGTTATCCTTTTTCTGCATTAAGGAAAATGGTTTAGTCGTCGTTTAGTAACACAAGATGTATTAATATAAACATAGGCTCATGAATAATACTAGAGGGACTGGTTTAAATTTTGATAACAGTCACTAAAGTCAAAGCCTTATGAAGTAAATTTTCATTTTAAAATTTCAGATGGTGGGTATTAAAGCTGGAGTTTTGAATGTATTAAGACTTAGTTACGAATTCGCTTATAAATGAAGCTGAACTACTTGGTAAGATTTAGGCGTTAAAGTTCGTTAAAATTATTTTTCGGGGATACACTTTTGAATGTTTACACACCTTCAGTAACATCATAAGTGAGTTTAAATTCAGTTATATAGGTTGATTGATGATTCGTACTTTTCTCTTTGTTTACTTTCAAGTGTCCAGTTGATTGGCCAGCTATTCGCCCTTGCGTTGATCCGTGTTCATTCACATATCAACCAACCCTTGTCAATCGGATACCTAGACCATTCGGCATTGAGGATACGGGTGTTTCCAGTTTAACATCGGAACGTCAATGTCAAAATATGAATATTTCCCCTACGGACGCTGGCGACTATAGGAGGTTGTCAAAGCACTCTGAAAATACTTTCGACAGCGATGTACGATGGCACATGTCCTACTTAAGTATGTGTCCTTCTCATCAAGTTCAATTACATCGTGTACTTCGAATATCTCAGTCTAATTTGGAATCTCGGATAACACAATTAATTGGTCGGTCTGGCGTTGATTGTCATAAGAATCTACTGTGGTACAAACTATTCGATACCAATTCTTCTTTGGCTACCCAGATTCTCTCGACGAATAGTCACTCCCTTTCCCAAGATGTCGTTAAAACCAACTGTCAAGTGGAAGACTCTCCATATATTTCTTTAGGGACCAACCTGAACCCGGTAGATAGTTACTTATGTCCTGTTCTGAACCATCAGAGTTTGTCAATGCGAGAGATAGAAGTAATTTTTTTTAATTATAGTATGTTTCTTCCGAACAATTAAAATGTGATTAATCTTTTGTCGACTCTTCATTGCAAACTGTTTTAAGTTTATATTTCGTTATTTCACGACGGTTTTAGGTTTTGAAACATCCTGTCGAAAAAGAGTGTTAGCCTAAAAGCACTATATATTTTAAAGAAATAGAGCAACAGGAACATCATCAAATTTACTTTTTAGTTTACGACAGTTGTCATCCGAGTGAGGATGTTACTTTTCTTTAGCCAATTAGAAGGTTGTTAACTTATTAGTCGATTATGCTACAGTTCTTTAACTGTCTTGGATAGCACACCGCATTTAAGGTCAAGGACTATTCCGTGAACCATATTGATTATTTCGTTCAGTTCTCAGGAACGTTAATGATAGGGAGCTTGGGGTTAAGTTAAGACTATATATAGAGAATACTCATAAAATTTAGACAATTATCTGATATACGGCTAAACCAGCTCTGTACATCTAATTCTTCATCTAATATCACCACTTCACTAAAGGAGATTGTTTTTTTTAAAGATAACTAATTAATTTATCTTATAATGGTTTTCATTGTTAAATATAAAACAGATAGGAAAAGATTCAATAACTCATCACACTCTCAACTGCTATATTTATAAAAGCACTCTAAAGAAACCATTATGAAGAGTAAAATAGAGAAAGGAATTAAAATAGATAATTAAAAAGGAGCTAAATAAGCGAAATAACATACCATTTTGTTAAGTATAAATTGTATATACATTCTTTACTTAATGAACCTATTTGTGTAGATTTTTAATATATTTATATTGTCGTCATCAGTGAGCTCCACGATGCGCATTTTTTTCTACCTGGAACTTAATTTTTGTTGGCTCATATCTCGATAAACAGGTATGATAAAAAAGTCTACTGATTTTAAAACGAAACTATATATCAGTACTCTTTTGAGTTTAAAGATTATTACTGTCCTTTCGAAAATCTGCTTTTAAAACTCCCTTACAGCGTAAATGTTTTTGACTTTAAAAATACTAAGCACTTTTCGATAGCTATTAAATATGATATCAAGGTTCAGGACATTTTGATAGACTCCAACCGTTTAGCAGCAAACATAATTCGAGTAGATATTTACTAATTTAACCTAATAGTCTAATTATACTATGTATTCTCATGGACAGGACTTAGTCGATATTCAACACCATAGTTTAATATTAATTGTCGTCGTGATATTGACTCTTATGTATGAGTATTTAATTATAATTATACTTATTTATTTATATTTGCATCTTTTTTTCCTTAAAATTCCAAGGAATTAGTTGATTCTGCACCATTTCAGTTGGATATTCTTCGTTTGGATCCCCGTTTAATTGAATTGTTTAATGTTGGTGGTTGCCATTTGAACTCTGTCAGTGCATTGTTAAACAAAGAATTTATTGATTTACAACAGGGTAATCACCATCAAATTGATCAGATGAAACTGAATATTAGTTCGAAATTATATAAATATTCTACATCGGAGACTATACCGTGTATTGCCTACCGATTTAGCCATTCAGTTGAGAGCAAATTGGATGAAGCATCAAATATAGATCGTCAGTGTATACAAAATTATATGGTCTTGTTGTCACCATCGTTCACTGAAGGTCTTATATTTCTTAGTTGGTGTGAAAGTAGTAATGATGAATGTGTTTTAGATGAAGATTCTTCAGTTTACACATCCAGTCCTATGAAAAATACATACTTTAATGGTGTTAGTACTAGTAATAGTGGTTGTTGTATTGATGCCGGTGAGAACAATTCGAAAGCAACTCAAAGATATCATATGGAAATAAACAACAATAAATATAAGGTAAGTTTGTGTGCTTGATTTCTGTTATAGATTTAAATAAGAACTATGCAGTAAATTTACACATCAGAATTAATGATGATCCTCAGCAGTCTGCACTAAAACTTCAATGCCGCTCACTTTGTGGTTCTAAATAAAATTATTTTTGACCTATAATCCCACGATACTATCGGAAAAATCCCAACTCCTGTATTACAGCTTCGTAATTCAACCATGTGTAATGAACTACCCCTCGTGGGAGCATGGGCCTCCTCCACCAGTAACCTGTCTTACTTTCAAATTTCCAGTTTTTTCCAAGTGTTATTCATTATCTTGATTTCTGCCTCCCATTCTCGGTGCAATATGTTCTCCTTCCTTACTCGGGTTTTGGGACTGATAATAACCCTAGAAGGGCTACAGTTAGAATTTTGTGAAATGATTAAGTATGTTTAAGTTATTTCTTCAGTATTGCGTTTCAAATGCTAATGTACTCAGATAGCATTGATAAATACCAGGATAATTCTACCAGTTGGTCATTGAAGTTTTCTGACATAGTTTCGTTTTTAACTGCGTTTTCTACCAAGTTCTCCTGTTTCCTTGTTTGTACATTTCTTTCCGTGTACTTAGAAGACTAGTAGGAAAACCTAGTGATTATTGCGTTTGATATTATACATTCTATCATATTCAGATTTTCACTCTTTTTTTACTGATGTATGTTGGTACGCATCGTTAAATTATGTACTTATTAAACTAATTTTATCCTTTGATACAAGACAATGCGTTTTTAAAAGGAGCTAATTTTTTTACATGTTGGTAAAAAATTATCCTTCAGTCGACTCATTATTTTTCTCTTATATTTCTAGGATTTTCAATTTCGCGCAGTTTTTCGAGCTGTTGGTGATCCAACCAATCCATCTTCAATGCGCCGATTAATTGATTCAGGTAGTGAAATACAGAATTTATTTTTCAAAACGTCAACACTAGCTCTAGTAGCCACTAATTTCATTGAAAAACTCAGTTTTTTCGTTTGGAAAACTTTGCACAATTGATAAAATCTTTTTGATATAATTCTGCCTTGTTTGTTCGGTTTAATTAATTTGGTTTGATGCATTATTTTCTACAAACTTTTTTAGTATCAACTCTCCTCTGCTTAATCTTTTCTGTTGACTATTTTACTCATCTAAATTAAATTAGTGGCTAATTTATTTTTCATATTCATACATTAATAATGATTCATGAGGAGAATTATGAACGTACTTTTTTTGAGCCGTTTTATTCGTCTTTCTATTTTGATAAACGACAATAGAACTTTATTTTATTGAACATTTTTCTATTGTTAACATGGTGATTAGGTCAAATCTAGTGGAGAGTGTAGTTACCGAAAAGCTGTTTTGAAATTTTACCACATTCTGAGATTTATGTGTGTGATGATATACGAGTTAATTGTTCAATCATAAGTTCATTGGTTTAACAATACACTTTTACGGCTCATATTTGTGACATATAGCTGACCAACGATAAGGATAAAAATCTGACGTCAACCCTTGTAAATTAATTTCCTGTATTTCGTGATATATATATATATATAACTTGGTAAGGAAAAGGTATCGTCTCCATTGAATTTATCGCTTTTCTGAATGGTATTTTTCTTACTTTCAAAAGTGTCTTTTCAGATAATTTTCAACAAATATTTCAACTCATTTTTACCGGAAAATAATATCATGATTCTTCATTTCTTGAACAGTTGTTGACCGCTTACAAAAAAACGGTGTTTACTACACGTAATACAAAATTGGTATTAATTATTTCAATTGACTCTCATCTGTAATGAGCCATCACCTTCATTGCGCTGAATGTTTTTTATGTTTGATACTAGCGGTATGTTCTTACAGGTACAAGATCAAAATTTTATCAATAATTTGCATCGCTGTCATCAACAATTTATGGCTTCATCATTAGCTAACCTAGCTTTGTCATAAATGTCACTTGTTTCCACAATGGATTCAACGATAAAACCTTCTATTTCACTCATGGGATATATAAAGTTTATAAAAGGTATTTGTTTTTACCTACTTCTATCTCGTATAAAACTAGCTTGACAACATTCGACGAACACTTATCAATAGGTTACAAAACTTTCGGAGCCATTTAAAACTAGCCATTGGGTAGCATAAAACGATAGGTGGATAAAACTCGGTCTCACTGTCCAATAATCTTATGTCTAGTTTGAGTGCTGAGAAGAAACAAGCAAAAACGCAAAATTCACATGTTCTCTATATACTACCAGATATGATCAACTTACTAGTCTACCTAATTACCTAGTCTTATTCTTGCTATGCGATTCACTTGAACAACTTCTCAAAGTTTAGTAAAACATCACCGACCCTAGAGACACAAATTGAAGTTGGAAAGCACTATATCGCTTCAGTCTTTACCAGAATGCTGTGTTCTCTTGTGACCTGGGTTGTAATAGTTTCCAGATATTTCCTCCTGGTTAAGCAAGAATGTTTGATTGACGTAAAAGTGATGGATTTGCCCTTCAATCACACAGCATTAGGTTACAACTGTACAAGAATGTCATTCATTCTCACAGCAAAACACTGCCATTTCTGAATATCTTTAGTTTTTAATGTTGGGACTTATATGCATGTGACCTTTACCTATAATAGTAATATATATTCGGAAAATAATAATTACAGAATTCATACCGGTTTACTGGCATGATCTGCTTGATATAGTAATATTAAGTGTAGAAGACAGATGTGTGATATTAGATTGTTTGCAGTATTCTAGTTCAAGAAATTGTCTAGTTAGTACATTTTTCACATGTACGACAATAAGGAAAAGCTTCAACCAGGACCTTTTGGTTTTTTTAAGTGCAGACTTGTGATGAGTACACAGGTTAAGCAATAAACTAATGAAAAACAATTTACAATTAGCAGACTAAATGACATCGTTTCATATTCCGAATTCATACTGGAAAACGAGGTCAAACTTGTTCCCTTAATATTTATGGTGGTCTACTCACTAACGAATTATTCAAAGTGGGAAGTCACAACTTTTGTTTATTTTCTCTTCAATGAAGGAATTTTATTATTAGCCTTCTTAAATATTGTATTTTCGGTACATATAGAATTCTCAGTGCGAAGTATTTCAACGAGTTTCCGTTTCTTATTACTTGGTCGATATTGACGTTAAATGTTGAGCGATCGCCAGTTAGATGTTATAATTTCAGAAATCGGCATCTAAATAATGTTCATGTTTTTAAATCTATGTTGCCAGCAATCACGATGTCTCCGATTGTACATTTTCGTAACTTCTACTGAGGAAGATCGTAAAATTTTCAAGCACACCTGAATAGGTTATGCAATTAACTGACATAATGATCTGTTAAAATAAAGAAGGAAACAGATAACTTGTTGAAATATCTAGATGGCAGGAACAGGTAGCCCAGATATTCAAGCAGATCGCCTTCTATTTCCAGAATCGAGCTTCAGTTGATTTTATTCTTTCATAAAACAATAAATGAGATTTTCGGTTTATCACAAAACATACTGCTCATTTCTTTTTATTGATTTCTTAAATAATCAGTAGTCATGTCTCAGAATTATGTGCATGAAAAAAACTGACTACAGTTAGTCTCAACTAAAAGAAGTAAATCTATTTTTAAGGTTAGCCAAAATATGTATTTCTGTTCAAACATATTTCAATGTAAAGTTTCAGTCAGGGTTTCACGTCTAATTACTTATTATTCTGATTTTCTATTCAATATACAGACTTTATTAATCAATGGTTTGTCAGCACTTGTAAAGCATCCTAATTATATATTTTGTTGTTTTCACAACTTTGATGTCTCAGCTTCATTATCCTACAAACAGGGTTGTGTTCATTTATGATGTTTATTGCTGATCATATTTTGATACAGATCAAAATTTGCTTTTAGGGAAAATGAAAGTGATCTGATTTCTTTTGAACCCCTCAGTTATATCTGAACTTTATGCATGACTACACATGTTACGTCTGGTTGAGTGGCCAAATGACTTGCTTGGTATTGAAAACTTGAAATATAACGACGCGTAATGAAAACCAAAGACTGGTGATAAAGATTTATGCGACCTCCGAAATAAATCAAGATGATATGTGCATACACTATTTGTTTGTATGATTTTTGCCCAATCAAGTTAACCGGATTTGTACAATTTGACTGATTAGTATTTAAAGTCAGTTAATCACTAGCTTATTATTATGGGCACATTTTTGTAATATAATACCAATCTATTTTAACTCTGACTTGATCCTGTTAATCTACCTTACGCTCCTAATAATAGGTCCATGTTAGTATGATTTATGGTTGTTTTAGAAATTAGCTAAGATTAGAAATAGTTATGTATTTTTGAATTACTTGCATAGTTATTGATTTTTCTGAAATATGGTGTCAGGTTTTACTCTATTGAATATAATACTCCTTGAATGCAAAACCCTTTAGAGACTTGGGTGAGAAAAGATCAATAATGATTGGAGATGAAATGGAATTATGGTCTTGCCTACCTCGATCCAAAACGAGTCTGCTAACACAGAGGCAGTATGCGTTAGCGGTTAACCACTTGATATCCCTTCACCGATTAGAACGATAGAGACCATCAGCCAAGTTTTGTGTTTTATTCACACTCGAAAACTCACGTGATCACATGTACAATATACAAAACCGTAAGGAGCCATAACTAAGAAATGTTTAGCACGAAGATAATTGATGTTCAATTTCTCAACGGTAAATCGAATGATAGCTTACAACTGAGATAACATAAATTATCATACTGATTCCCAGGTGAATAGCTTGCAAAATTTCTTATTATCAATTCTTCGCCTGTTCCTAATAGAAATTAACATGATATGGATCACTTATGAGAAATGAATGAACGAAATAATATTTCCAATTATTTATCTCACGTTTGTGCATGTTAAACAACCTCTTATAGTCAATGAGTACTAGGCGAATATTTCGTTGAAAGCGTGAGTCAATTGAAGCTAGACCACCATGGAAAACCTGGAAGCACTGAACGGCCGTTTCGTCCCATTATGGGACTCCTCAGCAGTGCGCATCCGCAAAACCCCTTCTGATAATAATAATAATATGTTCACTAGTGACTGACTTCGAGAGGTAAATCCAGTTCTAATGAGAAGCGGTGACCAGTGGAGTTCAAACAACGTCTGTTGTGAGATAACAACTCACTGAAGACAAATGTTGAACGGTTGCTCGACTTCGTGGATCAGTTGAAGTTAGACATTAACACCGTTGGGTGCCGGCTCAGTGGTCTATCGGTTAAGTGCTCTGGCGTGAGATTGGTAGGTCCTGGGTTCGAATCTCGCGAGTGCGAGATCGTGGATGCGCACTGCTGAGGAGTCCCATAATAGGGCCAAACGGCTGTCTAGTGCTTTCAGGTTTTCCATGATGGTCTAGCTTCAATTGACTCACGCTTTCCACAAAACCCTTTCTGATAAGAATATTTCATTGTTCTGAAAGTTACTATTTTATATCCATGACTACTCTTATGAACAGCTGAAAACCCTCAGTCTTTAAAAATTTATGGTCAACACCAATATCTTCTTTCAGGTGCAACAACATGAATTACCTGCTTTCCTACATCTCTTGAAAACAGTAAATGTGATTCACAATCTATTATTTCGTTACAATAAACATTTTAAATGACAGTGATTGAAAACATTTTTCTAATGAACTCTCAGTTTGTTGTTCAATAGCATAGGAAATCACTTGTGATTAATTTATCATATCGATTTCTAAACGAGCGAATCGACTGAACTCCAAATTAACAATAAGTGTTCATCATAAACTGATCAGATTGTTAAATAAATCGATCTACTTTCTCAGTCAAATGAAATGTAAACTAGAGTAACCTGTTAAATCTAAGCTGAATGATGATGACTGGACTTTACTGAAAACTGTTCGCAGTGATAAGTCTATTTGGAAAATTGTATGCAGTTATTTAATGAGTGCGAAAATTGGCCTTGTAAGACAATTTATATGAAACCCTGAAGCAAAACATAGAATATATCTGGTTCAGATATTTCCAAACGTTTACATTAAATACGTACGTGAAACACTTCACCAAATTTACTGGTAGTATTATTGATCACAGTACTAATTGTTGTAGATTGAGATAACTTGACAAGCACTACCTTCCTTAATATTAAACAGAAATTTTGTCTTTGAGTGCTAGTAGATAAAAAATAATGACAAAGATCTTTTTCAACCTTATTCACTATTTTACCAACAAACAGCGCTTGGTAATATCCACTCACACTGATAGATCGATTATGAGTTTAGTTTATAAAACAATCAAATCTTAATACTAGGCAATGTGAATGGTGAGAATTGCTATCCGGATATTTAGTAAAATGACGAACAGAGAGAAATATATTTCTTTTTGTTATGACTATGAAATAAGAACGTATGCTAATTCGTTATTGATTTTTATGTCCGACTTTTTATCACGTGAATTATCCACTAATCGAAATACGACTTTTCTAATACTGACAAATCAATGACGTTCGACCAGTATGAGTAGTCTAGCGTCCTTATTGGTCCCTTTGTCTGCCTAGCTCTTCCAATTGAGTCCACAACACCAATTACAGCTTCAGCTGTGCGAATCTATGCGAATCATTTATTTCAAGAATACTCGGTTCATATACCAGCCAAACATACCGCATCACACGACAAAATAGAAAATAATATTTGTACAAGATCAAGCCAAATGTGGCTGTGAACATGGGATACAGTAATCAATAAACTGAACATAATTTGGGAACAGTAATTCGTACAGTAATAATCCATAGGTCAAAATGAAGCTTATAATAAGATGAATGTAGATATACATAATCTAATTACTCAATAGTTGAACTAAGAATATATATAGAATAATAGTCCATTAATATGTCCTGAGAGTTATCCGTACTTATGTCTTCACCAGGATATACGCTTTTCAATCGGACTTTCATCATGGCTCTTCACTAATATATATAGCCCATGTCTATTCCATCTATTTGTCTATAATAAGAATTGTTGAAGACAAAATGAACATTCATCGTACATCTTAAGAGCAATTCTTTCAGAAAATCTTCCGGCAAGCCAATGTTGATTTGTTTTTCTGTTATTTGCTCACATATGAACTCAATAAGTGGTACGTTGGTAAACAAGGGTACTACATCTAGTGAGAACATATTTTTCATACTAACATTCATATTTTCCACTTTGGAAGTGAAGTCGAATACATCTATACTCCTTCTAACAACTGATTTGTGCAAGGGGTCTAAGATACGTACTAGCCACTTTGCAATTTTGTGGTAAGGGGAACTGAACATGTCTAGGACTGGGCGCAGTGGAAGACCTGTTTTATGAACCTTAGGCAAACCATATAGTCGTGGTGTATAAGATCCAGTCGGTTTAACGGAATCATGAATCTCTTGTGTAATTATTCCCTTTTTCTTTAGATCCTTAAGATAATTTGCCAATTGGTTTTCCACTTTTTTATTTAGATCGTCATCAGGATCTACTTCAATATGCATCTAATTGAAAACAATTGTTCGCTTACATGTGTTGTTCTAATTTTCACGATGGGAATCTTTAATGTTCCACAGAAGGATAATCAAACTATGGATGACGCAAGTAGCATAGTAGGATTTTAAAGACGAGAAAACAAAAGCGTTCTCATACAGAAACAAAACCATGAGGGTCAAGAGAATTGGGAACTAAGAGACACTTTTCGGCTTCTCTGTTAAATCAACTCGGTTCTTTAAACAAATTAGTCTTTTATGATCAAATCAAATGATTGATAGATTAACGGAGTATTCTGAAAAGTATGGCACGTTTGAATATCCTGACAAGATTCTGCATGAAAATACAGTGAACTTGCAATAATATATGCGACAATCAGTGATGTAATCTATGAATTTAAACTCTTGATTTTACCTGCCAACCAATTTATTTTGAGGAAACGGTAACAGCATGCTTGGCTTATTAGTGTTGCAACTTAAGAGGACAATTTAGTTTTGCCACCAATATGACCCTTCTGAAAAAGCTAAATGATACGTAGGAGCCGCAGAATCTAAGACATTAATGGTCAGTCAGTCAGCTACAGCGTAGGACCAGGCACATATATGCATCGGTTCAAGTTGCCATACCTCGTTAGCACAACAAGATGAACACTGGATTCATAGAAGTAATTAATTTAGTGGTGGTAGTAGTATATGAATTATAGATTGTATATAAGGATATAGTACAGAAAGAAGGAAGGATATGAAGCAAATTTAGTCTCAAGGTTTAAGGGAAGATAAAGAGTGTATACACCTGCGCCATTGTGATCGATTCTGAGCCATGTCACCTAGAGTCTCCAACCATTGGTTACGATAGTCACACGGACCCCAACCAGGTAGTCTGCATCTACCAACATGGCTCAGACTAGAAGTTAGTGACTTCAAACACTGATGCCATGTTTTGGTTTGGCCGCCCCTAACTCTCATCCAACCATCCCCAATACTAGTCATCATAGCACGTCGTGGTAATCGGTGTTCAGGCATACGTAACACATGGCCCAACCATCTCAGTCGATGAAGATTCATCACCTCATCAACTGATTTACCATCGTTCCCTAATACCCTGCGTCTAACCTCACTATTACTTACCCGGTTATCCCAGCAGATGCGAGCAATATTTCTAAGGCATCTGTGGTCAAATACTAGTAACCTACGAGTATCTTCTACTCTTAATGGCCATGTTTCACAGCCGTAGAGGGACTGATGCGCAGTATACTCCTTTAATTGATAGACGAATATCTCGTCTTCGCCATAGGTGACGTAAGTTGGCAAAAGCCAAACGAGCTTTTTGAATCCGTGCTGAGATTTTGTCAGACATCGACCCATTAGGGCTGATCAGACTTCCAAGATAAGTGAAGTTGTCGACGCGTTCGACTACTTCAATCCCTATCCTTAGTTCGGGTGTTGACGTAGGCCAGTCCTGTAGTAACAATTTACATTTGGATGGGGAGAAACGCATCCCAAACACCCTGGCATTATTACTGAGTTCCAACAGAAGACTGCATTTTGCCAGCGTCTTCACCAAATAGGACTATGTCATCTGCGTATTCTAAGTCGCTTAGTGGTCCCCCTCCTGTAAATTCAGTCGAAGAGAGTGTTATTTCCAGCAACATGTCTATAATGAAGTTAAACAAAAGTGGGGATAGTGGACAACCTTGTCGGACACCACTTGAGGTTGTAAAATCATATGACAGTTCGCCATAAGCTCTCACTCGACTGGTAGTGTTCGAGTAAAGAGCCTTCACAAGGTTTATGTACTTCTCAGGTACACCTTTCAATGACAGACACTGCCACAGAACCTCTCGGTCTACAGAGTCAAATGCTGCTTTCAAGTCAAGAAAAACTATCATTGTCGGACGCCGATAAGCATGTCTGTGCTCTAAGACTTGACGAATGGTGAATATGTGGTCGATACAGCCACGACCAGGTCTGAAGCCAGCCTGATTTTCTCGTGTTTGGAGTTCACGAGTCTTAGTTAGGCGCCCGATAATTATTGAGGCTAGTATTGTGGATACTATGTTAGTCAGACTAACCCCTCTATGGTTATCACAGGATGATTTTGGCCCCTTCTTATATATTGGGACAATCAGAGATTGTGACCAGTCAGATGGGATTACGTCCGTCTCTCAGATTTTGGCCAGAATATTAGTCAACCTAATCGCTAAAACTGGACCACCATATTTAAAGACCTCTGGAGCCAATACGTCTGGACCAGCTGCTCTTCCTCGTTTCAGATTACCTATAGCCTTTTGAACTTCAAGTAGGGTCGGGGGGCCTACTTCAATGTTCCATTCAGGTTTTCTAGGAAAAGTGGGTAGTTGTGCAGTAGCTGAAGGCCAGCTAAACTGCTCCTTTAAGTGTTCCTCCCATCGTTCTAAACGTTTGGGTTGAGAGCAGATAAGGGTTCCGTCTTTTTCGGAGATTGTCTCACTTACACTTGACTTCTTAATTCCGGTTTCTTTTATTAGTCTGAATAGTTGCCTGGTGTTCCCTACAGCCGCTGCCTTTTCCATCTCTTTTGCTTTCGTTGCCCACCACTGCTCATGATCGTTCCTTAGACTTTTAGTTAACCTAGATCTAATTTCTTTACGCTCTTCGTCATGTTCAGAGCCTGATGGAATGAGTTTACGCGAATCCATCAGTGAAATCGACTTAGAAGAAATCCATTGGTTTTTTGGAGCCCTATGGTTTAAATGACTAATAGATGTTACTGCTGTTTCCACAGCTGTTCGTATGTCTTTCCAAGCAGCATCTGTGTCAGTCTCATTTACAGAACTGCCTAGATGTGAACTCAGTTGTTTCTGGAATTCGCATTTGGCTTTCTCGTCCTCCAGTTCAATCCTAATGGGTCTTCTTAGTGTACTTTTCCTGCGTCCATTGAGGTGCAGACAAATGCGCGCTCGTATTAAAGCGTGATCAGAGTCTGAACAAGTATTCCAATACGAGCGACAATCTTCTATTGAGCCTCTCCAACGATGACTGATGACAATATGGTCTATTTGAGTCCATCGTTGGTTTGGTGCAGGTGGTCGCCATGTTAGACGATGTCTCTCCTTATGCTTAAAATTAGTGCTTGCTAAAAATAAACGATTTTCTGAACATAGTTGCAACAGACGATCACCATTATCGGTTCGTTGAGCCCAGACATTAATGGACTATAGAATATATTTTTCCCGGAATAGGCACGAGATTTTATTACGTACAACCTATAAGTTTTCACGTACGTTGAAACTAGTGCTCCGCATCTTGCCATTAACCATCATTAATCCAGTCGTTATCAGCACAGAGCGTGGCACAGGATGCCATACTGAATCCGCAGGAAGAGATGTAGTCAATAAGATTAATAGCAAACGATTCAAAATACTACTAGTATTAATTATAGTGCGATAGACTAAAATATGGTTTGAATGTATATGGCCATTTCTGATGAGTACTCGTCGAAGTTGAATTAGTTCTTCGCTTTTTGTGTCCTCAAGGAAAAAGCAGACTAGGTTTCTGATTCTACCCAATGGGACCCGACTAGGGAAATTTCCATTCTGACCAATCCAGTCGGTTTCCTATTTATAGATGTTTGTAAGGGAGCGTCTGTCCTTCTTTTCAACAAGACATGAAGCAAATGAAATCCAGCGGTCATCTCTGCTTCTAAAGAAAAAATAATTGAGTGATGACAGCTATTTGAACTTACACAAAATTTCATGAAGTTCCATATTTTCTTCACAAATGATAAAAGTGTCATCCATATATCTCCTATGCAGATGAAACTCCTCGATTATTGGTTGAAGTACAGTATTTCCCAGATTGGTCGTGAAACAATCAGACAAGAGAAGACAATGGTAAACCAGCTCCAATACCCTTTTAACAGACACAATCAATGTAAAGCAATTAGTTTACTAACTGACTGCACAACAGAAAATAATGAGATCAACTTGGAAATGTAGTAGTACGTATAAATATCTCATACGATGAACTTTTCCACACACCAGACTAAAATGTCTGCCTAATTTGGTTGATTCCTGGATTTACAATATTTATTCTATACTCAAGCAAGTTAAATTATGGAGAGAGACTTTATGTTGAAGTATTAGTACATGTCCCCCAATTTCTAAAAGCATTTTTCACTTCACATACTCGTCAACGACATAACTGTACTATAAGATCAGATTAGACATGTGTATAACAGTAAAGGTCTACTTTTGTGTATTGATTCCATAAAATCAAGTGAAATTTCAACGAGTTGATTTTATCAGAAGGGATTTTTTGTGATTTCAGTAGTTTTTGATAGTTGATATAATGAGTCAATCGAAGCTAGACCACCAATATTTTTATTTCTATAGCTAATTTGTGTACTTTTATTTTTAGTGACTGTCCATTTTATCGAATATACTTCAAAAAAGTCTAAAAGGGGTTTCTTGGGACAGAATGAAGTGCAGTATCCCTCACAGAAATAGCTTTAGTTGCAGCATTTCCAGACGGGACAAATATGCTAGTTAACGAATGAAGATATCGTCCGCTAAAAACACTGCATTAAGTAGTATTCTTACGTTGCATCTATTTCCATCGACAAATGACCCGAAAGTTAGGAACTTTGATCACATGAAACAGTTCAAAATAAACAGTTATGTGATAAGTATAATAAGTTGACTAGACCAAACTATTGGAAGAAAGTCTGACTTTTACCAAGAATAAAATATAATTCAGCTATATATGCTTAACTCTTATTTTTATGTTCTCCAAAATATTTGTATATTACTAAGAATTCTGATGACCGAAACGCTACCAAGTTGTAATGAAAGTTAATTTTGCAACAAAATTAATTTTTTTACCGCTACTCATCGTATGTAAAATTAGTTTACATACTAGTGATGGTATTAACAATCGCAGTGATGAAAAATTGAGGTAGTAGACAACTACATAACTTTGGTATCAGAGAAAACTAATGTCAACATTAAGATATTTGTAATGTATGAATATATTTTGCGCTTTATACTAGAAAAACAAAGAACTGCTTCGTGATTACTACTGGAAGGGCTGTAGAAGCACATCCTTACGTATGTAGATGGGGCTATAAATGCCTATATATATATATATATATATATATATATATATATATATATATATGGAAGACAGCAAAAAGTAGGAACAATACTTTCATATGACAATGAAAAAGAACACAGTAATCACACATCATAGAACAAATAAAGGAAACAAAATAACTATGAGAAGTAAGTGTTTATAATGTTATACTTCAAAAAATAATATTAGAGGCGAGATTGGGAAAAAGTATAAAAAAATGAAGAACAGAAAAACAAAGTAAGATTAATTAAAGTAACATTGAATTCTGACCACTTTTGTTTTGAGAAAAAAACCGAGAACATAATGAGAATCCACTCAAAAAGTTGGGATTGAAAAGAGAACATCTGGTAAGTTTCTTATGTACCGACACTTAAGCGCTGGCGCTACTAATAATTGATAATTCAAGCAAAAATTAGAAGAGGCAAAAATAATAATTGAAAGAACTCGTTAACATTGAGAAAAGACTCATAGATGATAAAACAAAGAGGAGTAGTTGGTTGACGCAATTTACAAGCAAGTGAAAATAGAAAAGCCCCCTGAATTAACTAGCTGATTGTCTTTTCTTGCAAAAAATACTAAGAATCAATCATGAGATGATTTCCATCAACAAGATATGTTGATTAGCAACAGTTATAGTGATAAACTTGCAAAAGCGGCTAACCAATGATTAGCCACTTCTGGAAAAACGGCCACAGTAGACAAAATAATGAGATCATGTGATGTTATAGGGGAGATTTAAGAACAGCTTTTGGGGACTCAATATTATGTGAACCATTTGTAGTGGAGCTTTGTACAGGTACAGGAGACTGGGAATGAACTTTTGCGTGACAAGATAAATCGAGTTTACTTTTTTCAATTGAATCAATGATGCCTAAGATATGTGGACGCAACAAGTGGTCAAGAGTGCAACAGTCGACGGCTAACTGGAGAAACCAAGTAGGGCAATCAGGAGGCACCGGGAGGTTTTCTTGATCTAAGCCAAAAGACTAGAGAAAATAAAACAAATTATATATACAACAGTGTAGGATACTTCTCATGAAATCGGGGATGTACATAAATAAAATTCTAATATGTAAACTTGCAACTGCCAAAAAATAACCATTTATCATTGGCTACTGTGATTTGAAATAAACTATTGATAATGTGCCAGTGAGTTGTACTAGGTCAAAAGAACACAAAATGTGTACAACAAACGACCGTCATGACTATGAGATAATAGCTCCAATATTAACGCTTCTTAGATGTGTGTATTTAAACTAACTTTGCTTTAAAGCGACCAACTGAGTTACTACTAGCTTGAACATTCGAATCTCGATGTTAGGATACATAACTTCAGTTAATTTATCTACATTATTATAATTTAAATCTCAATCAAAACAAACGACGGCAGAGATATGGATATCTTTTCTGAGTATTTTAAAGACTTCACGGAACGCCGAAAATATTCTTACATAAATGAAAGTAATTAGAACAAAAGATATAAATCTCAGATAGTGTATAAATTTTGTTAACCAGAAGCGGCTTATATGAATATGTTTTACCGATGTCCAAAACTCCCAACCCTAACGAGCAATAATGATGGGCATAAGAGTGGAAAAAGAAGAAAACCAGCAACGCCCAAGCAAAGACGTGGCATCAGTCCGTGAGGTTAGCGACTTCCATTTTGAGCTGTGTTAGTAGGTGAAAATTATCTGGCTGGGATCTGTGTGATGAAAGTGATTAATTGTTGGAAATATTGCGTGACTTGGTTAAAAATTGATCGCAATGCCACAAATCGATTCAGTATATGTTCATCCCCAAATCGTGAATTTCAAAGTTTAGATTTTTTATTCAACCAATTCATTTGTTCCTCTTTCTTGAATTACATTCTGTATCCCTAATCTTTTTTTATAATCACTGATACTACTATTTTAGTAGTAATCACCTTGATGTGGTGTAGCAACTTATCCCGGTAAATGCTTGTGGAAGGTTCTACATTACTCATTACTAAACTTTCCTTCTATTACTTCATAGCATAATGATCTCGATAAGTGCTGGATAATCATTTGCTCCCAATATTTCTGTTATAAATAAATAAACATCACAGATATCATACACCAACCAATACGAGAAAATAGGACCTGCTACAATAATGAATGGATTTAGGTTGCAAAAAATCTACTGCATGGGGCGGAGACGTGGAGAACTACGAAAGCCATCATCCAGAAGATACAAGTGTTTATTAACAGCTGTTTACGCAAGATACTTCGGATCCGCTGGCCAGACACTATCAGCAACAAGTTACTGCGGGAGACAACAAACCAGATTCCAGCGGAAGAAGAAATCAGGAAGAGGCGCTGGAAGTGGATAGGGCACACTTTGAGGAAATCACTCGATTGCGTCACAAGACAAGCCCTCACACGGAAGCCCGAAGGCCAAAGAAGAAAAGGAAGACCAAAAAACACATTACGCCGAGAAATAGACACAGACATGAGAAAAATGAACAAGAATTGGATAGAACTAGAAAAAAAAGCCCAGGACAGAGTAGGTTGGAGAATGCTGGTCAGCGGCCTATGCTCCATTGGGAGTAACAGGCGTAAGTAAGTAAAATCAGAGAGCGGGGGTTGAGAAAATGTTTAGAATAACTAGAAGTCCGATATCTCAAGATATGTTAAGTAGATGAATTTTAGCAACCGCTGTCGATATAGACCAGGTTTATTTAAAACCATCAATATCTGGTAATAAAAGGACCCTAGAAGGTTACAATGCTCTAACAGTTGGTGTCCCAAACAAATCCAACTACAGCTAATAATACTCCGTAGGTTTATTTTATTTATTTAAACGCGTAAACATTGGTACAAGGAGGCACCAAATACACATGCACCACACAAATCGAATGATTTGCATGAGGTGTGGAATAATTTCCGAGTGCCCAAACCGAAGCAGGTGGTTTTCTTAGGGGGCCACACCCCGAGCCTCTGACCTAGGGGTCTAATCCACAAGGCACTAGAGGTACGTAAATAGATGCAGTCCCATGGTAGCCAGTGACCAACAATGGGTTCATACGCCATCTGTTCCTTCAGGATCCTGGACCCCATGTGCACCATTGGTTTGGAATCAGGGTTTTCCAACTCCCCTAGGTGGATCCTCCATATTCACCGTAGATTAAGTGGAATATTTTAAGAGTCCCAAACAATTCAGGTTCACGATTTCACTAGTTGATCTAAACCTGTTATGTCCCGATAACAATAGTGAATGGTAACTTTGGGATCTATTTACGAACCAATACTATGCATATATTTTGTTATTGTATAATAGCTAAATAACTAAACTTCGTATTCATGTTCCCCTTATTATGAGCCCTCAAACTTAGAGTGTAACCCATAATCGAGTACCTGGAGTGTGAGTTAGTTCAATACTAAATTTTAATTTCAAGTGGAGTATTTGAGATTTTCCGTGTATAAATATTCTAACAACTTTACTGCTGATCATATACATCGTATATTTAATCTTAGATACTACCAATATTAACTCTATAGTAAATTGATTTGTCTTTTAATGATCAGAAATGTTGCCAATATATTTCAGGCTTTTTTTGCGACATATCCAGGTTAATATCCACTTACAAATAAAACTACGTTGGGAGTAAGATACATCATCGATAGCATTAAGTGATAGTTGTGCAAAATCGCGAATTAACTGCCATTTGAAGTATGAATCGGGATCACTGGATTCTAACTAAGCGGATTAAAGACAACGCACTCATCATGATGCTTGGAGGTCATAGGTACTCATTAGTTAGAAGTCCCAAACTAAAGCCAAACAGGTATCCAGATGTATCTTGTTTTCGAATGATTGTTTACCAGAAAGCAGTTTGTGATGTTAGCTAACCTAACACTCAAAAGCCTCTACAAATGATCTATTCTACCTGTGATTATCCTTTTTTATTAATTGTGACTCTGCACTACCTTCAGGCCGAACGTTCCCCGAGACGAATGAAGAAATTCGTACACTAAGTAATGGTATGACGTTTTAGTATTATAGATGTAAATAAGTTTTCGTATTTTAGAATTCAGTATTCCAGAAATAAAAGCAGTCAAGCTAATCGATACTTACCGGTGTACGGGGTATGAGTGAGCAGTCGTTGTGGAGACGCGTTATTAATTCACACATCAAAAGACCGTAGGAAAATATATCTGCAGCAAATGTATAGGGTGCTACTCGATTCAGGCATTCAGGAGCGGCATAAAATGGGTTTCCAACGACTGAAACTGTATCTGAATGATCCCTAAAAGTGAAATGAGATAAAAACTTTACTAATGAGTAACTAAACGGAACAACTACATTTAACTACTCAAGAACAATGTTAATCAACTAGGCAGCGGGAATGGTTTAAAACTGGTTCGAGGTCTTAAACTAGTGTTGAATGGAAATGCTCATTGTATTGAGTCACGTTGGCTTGGCATAAACTCTTGTCCGTCATTTCGAATCAGCTTTAACTTCGACGAATCTTAGAAACACAGGACTAAAGGCTAGTGGTTAGTATTTGGTCGATAATCAAAACGGACAATTTGACGTGATGGTGATATGACAGAAATTGCTGAAACACGTGTTTGGATATTCTGAACAACTGAACTAAGTTTAGCTCAGTATTCATAAAATCTTAGTCTACAAAAATAAAACTGAGAAAATTAAAAAACAACAATGAGTTTGGCAGTATGTATTAATCAAAAAACCCACTGTTTCAAATCCAAGCATAAACCCAAATCGGCTACAAGTGCAGTGAATTCCAGAGAACTGCTTGGTGATACTGAGATTTCTGATCGAGTTAAACAATTTAGAACAAGCAGATCATTAGTAATCAGCTGCTTCCATTGTGGTTCAATAAGTGGAATAGACTGCAAATAGCTGAAGGGGATAATTGGTTTACTTGAACACGACAATTCGTCAGTATGTTGATTTGCAAATGAAAGTAGATGAGCTAAATTCAGATCAGATTTATCTATATCTGTGGGATATTCTTCGTTTGAATAAGAGCTGGCTGGTAAAAACTCGTTGGTTTCATCATCTGAATGTATTCTGCTAAACTGGTGAGATCGCTGTCGGCTGACACGACTGCTGTAACGTCGACAAAGATTATGAGAATGACAAGATTGATGTGATAAACCATTGGTATGTTTGCTTCCCTGAACAAATGCATCACTTTCGGAGTCAGATAGCTTGGATTGAGTAAGTCGATCTTGGAAAGTGTCATTACAAACTGTCTGATAGTCAAAGTTAAAGGTTGAATCAGAATGATTATCTGTTGTATCTGGATTTGACCGAGAGTGAACTCGAATAAGGATATTCTGTAGTGCGTGTAAAGAAAAGATTATTAAGATGGTAACATCGCATTGTGAAAAAGAAAGGAATAACTTTAAAACTATGTCAACTACTACTTTTCTCCTACAGCAGTTATTCCTGAATATTGACGAACCAGATAGTTTTATGGTTAGTGATAGTATCTGTTTGCGAAACGTTTCTGCTTTACAAACAGTGAATTAAGACCCATCTTAACCGACAAAAAGCAGCGACCGCGATAAATATCAGTCCTGAAATAGTTTTTATATTATCGCTGTTTTTAGTGGAACTGGAAACACAATAATGTACCACCAACTGACTAGTCGAATCCAAGAGATAACAATGACTCGACATACTCAAAAAATCAAATTTTTATGTCCTAGCTTTTATAAAATTGAAGTGAGTGGTATTGTAAATTATCTTTAGAATAGGTGTGTGAACAGATAAAGCTAGGTGGTGTTTTGCGATAAAAAAGTTATCAAGATAGTGTAATACAATAACATTTATCCGTAAACAGAATTCACGGTTTTCGGAATCATAATGATTGAATTTGTTCCTTCATTGACTTGTAGTGATGTTCAAATACTAAAAATAAATGTCACGTTGTTTAGGTTAAATTTTCAACTCTATGCTTTGTCATGAATACAACTTGTCATTATCTCAAGCAAACAGACGGCATTTAAATATCAGATTAAAGTCTGGAACCCTATAATAACAGTTTAAATTAGAACAGTGTACATGGGTGTGAATGAAATCTCTTGTGAAAAAAATACCTGAGAGGTTAAATCTCGATGAATTAGACTGTGACTGTGTAGATGGTGAAGACCACAGGCAATGTCCAAAGCTAAACTGATCCGAACAGACCAAGACAAGCTTAACGCTTTGGCGGCCAAAAGACCTGCTAAGCTACCTCCATTAGCGTACTAGTGAAAAAATAATTCCAAAAGGTAGGATATGATGAAAGTAGATAACAAATCCAAGGTCACTGCATAAAAAAAGCAAACAAACAATAACTAGCTAATCGTATGGAAAAAAAATCGCATTTATTAATGTCATTTGATATTAAAGTACTTTAGAAACAAAATAAACATACACATATAGGTCTATAAATATGCAACCAAACAAGTGGATGTGGTGTTGTTATGCATATTGTGATCACTATCCACACTTTATTTCTCCTCCAATGAAAGTGCCCACAGTTATTTAAATAGAACGTTTTTCGTCAAACCCATGGTAACACTATATTCGTATAACCAGTCAGGAGAAACATTAAAATATTTGGTCCACTAACATTCATAAATTTAATGATTAAGTATCACCCATACTATGATCAAGGCTCGGTAGCTAAGTGGATATCGCGATTGCCTTTGAAGTGAAAGGTACTAGGTTCAAATCCAAGAGTGAACATCAACTCTCAGAAGTAGTTACATCCATCTGACGATACTAATTGAATAGCCCCCAAATGCCCTGTTACGGCCGAGAGTGGGGAGAGTCCGCTCTCCCTCAAGAAATGCTCTCATGTGGCCACGCGTATATAGCCTCTGTCAGGGAAGTCCTACTCACTGCCTCATCGTGGCGAGGGTGTTGTTTACGAAACTGAGAGGACGAAAAGCGAATTTCCGGCGATATAACCGGGTTGGTGGATATGAAGGATCCACCTAGGGGAGTTGGAAAACCCTGATTCCAAACCAATGGTGCACATGGGCTCCCGTATCCTAAAGGAACAAATGGCGAATGAACCAGTTATTGGTCACCGGCTACCATGAGACCACATCTCCTCACGATGCTCCACTGCTTTGTGGACCAGACCTTTAGGTCAAAGGCTCGGGGTGTGGCCCCCCAAAAAACTACCGGCTTCGGTCTGGGCACCCGAGCAATATCACAGCCCCTACACAAATCAATGAAATGATGATTCCTACTGTCAATCCTATTCACGCTCTTACTTAATGCCAGACACTACATTATTATTATTATTATTATCATTATTATTTTTACCATGTCGCTAATTCACCCCCTTTTATTACCAATTTGTTTATCTTTACTTTCCAACTTATGCAGCAGCTCGCCCATGATGGAAACTATGTCCTATCTAAACGATCTCCAGTCACTGTCTGGTTGAAAGTGAATGCTTCCACCGATTATGAATACTGAACCAGTCTTTCTGAAACCACGTACGCCCTTCACGCTGGCTTCCTTCAACGTTCGCACACTAATGCAGATCAGACAACAGATAGGGCTGGCTATGTCTTTGGAAGGTCTTAATGTTGACGCTTGTTGTCTATCCGAGACCCGGATTCAAGACTCTAGTGAAGTACTACAAATCCGCTCTCCATCTGTCGCCTCGAAAAGCTTGTTTCACGTGCGTTTATCCGGGGACCCTGTAGCATCTTTATCTGGTCTTGCTGGTGTTGGTGTCGCACTAAGCGCTAGAGCTGAGGCAGCACTAATCGATTGGATCCCCATTGACAGTCGGTTATGTGCTGTTAGATTAGAAAGTTCCATCAAAGTGAGAAATCGGCGTGAGAAACGATGTCTTTTTGTCATCTCCGCCTATGCCCCGACAGATTGCAGCCCGGATGCAATCAAGGATGAAGTCGACCACCAGTTAACTGTTCTCCAGAAAGCGCGTTCGACAGATATTGTAGTACTAGCCGGAGACTTGAATGCACAGGTCGGGCGTCTAGGCACAGAAGAGAGTCGTTTAGGTGGCCGATGGGGACTTGTTGGTCGCAGGACAGATAAAGGAGACCGTCTACTGCAACTGTGCACAGACTACAACCTGTTTCTGGCTAGCACTAACTTCCGGCACAGTCATCGCCGGTGTGCCACCTGGCGTCCTCCCTCTGCATCCCAAGCCTGGACTCAGATTGATCACATTGCGATCAGCTACCGCTGGCGTGGTTGTGTACAAGACTGCCGCTCCTTTTGGAGTACCTATCTGGAGTTTGATCATGCCCTGGTCTGCGCCAATCTTAACTTACTTTTCAGTGGCCAACAAATTGACCGTCATCAACGGATTGATGTTAGTAAATTGGTTGCAACTTCTGTTGTAAGTAAGTATCGAACCGAGCTAGCTTCTAGGCTAGCTACCATCCCACCGAAAAGTATAGATGAGCATTGGTTGCAACTGCATGACGCCATGAAAATGGCGAGTAAAGTCGCTTGCGGCTTCACGAAACGTCCCGCTTATAAGCACTGGGTTTCTTCTGGCTTCTTACAACTGACCGAAGCCCGTTGGTCTACTCCGGGTGACCGTGAGTTTCACCACAAACGAAGGCTATTACGCAACGGAACTGGGCAAAGCTTGCGTAAGGACCGAGAAGCCTGGTGGTCGGAGCGTGCTAATGAGATGGAAGCAGCAGCTGCATCTGGTAACTATCGGAAGCTCTTCCAACTCATCCGAGCCACTGGCAGCAAGAAGTCTGGTGTGAGTGAAACAATCTACGAGGATGATGGGATGCCAATCACTAACATCTGTCGACGTCTTGGACGATGGGCGGAATTTTTCGAAGGGCAGTTCAATTGGCCTGCTGCTCCGGCAACATCCACCAGATTGTCCTGCCCCCCATAGCTGGTGACGACTGACCCACCAAACGAGGCGGAAGTTCGCAAGGAACTCCAACTCTTGAAACGCTACAAATCACCGGGCCCAGATGACTTACCTCCAGCTCTTTTTAAAGATGGTGGTGACTTTCTGACTAAGGAATTGACTGTGTTGTTCGCAAAGGTTTGGAAACAAGAAAGTTTTCCAACATCATGGAATGAGTCGATAGTCGTCCCTATCTTTAAAAAGGGTTCGCGTTGTTCCTGCAATAACTATCGGGGGATAAGTCTACTTCCGATTGCGTACAAACTATTGGCCTCTATCATTCTTCGTAGGTTGTTTAAAACCCGAGAATGATTGACTCGCGAGGAGCAGGCTGGTTTTCGTTCTGGTAGAGAATGCATTGATCACATCTTCACCCTCCGCCAAATCTTGGAACACCGTCATACTTATCGCAGGCCAACAATCGTAGTGTTTCTCGATATCAGGGCTGCCTTCGATTCGTTGGACAGGACCGTTCTCTGGGATTGTCTATTGAAGAAGGGTGTGCCTGAGAAGTTCATTAACATCTTAAAGGCTCTGTATACGAACACCTCAGGCAGAGTGAGGGCATACAACCACCTTTCTCCCTTGTTCAATTCAAGCAAAGGGGTTAGGCAGGGTTGCCCAATCTCACCATTCCTCTTCAAATTTGCCATCGACGACATTCTGGAAACAGCTCTGATGGGTGTAAGTGATGGCGGTGTGGATCTGCTACCTGAAGAACGACTTCTCGACCTTGAGTATGCGGATGATATTGTCTTACTGTGCGATATTGCCCAAGACATGCAATCCGCACTTAACCAGTTGGGAATCAGTGTCCGCAGGTACGGCATGTGCTTCGCACCCTCCAAGTGCAAGGTACTCCTACAAGACTGGCAGGATTCTCATCCCGTGCTCACCCTAGATGGTGAACAGATTGAAGTAGTTGAGAAGTTCGGGTATCTAGGTGGCTACATAAGTGCTGGTGGTGGCGTGAGTGATGAGATCGATGCACGTATAGTGAAAGCCAGAGCAGCTTACGCCAATCTGGGCCATCTTTGGCGCCTTCATGATGTTAGTCTGGTTGTAAAAGGTCGGATCTACAACGCGTCGATGAGAGCAGTTTTGCTCTATGCTTTTGAAACCTGTCCTCTCCAAGTTGAGGACGTTAGACGACTCTCTGTGTTTGATCATCGTTGTCTCCGAAGGATTGCTGACATACAGTGGCAACACCATGTTAGTAATGCAGAGGTTCCGACTCTGGGACTGGTTGGAAAAAGGGGAGAGGAGGTCAATATATGACATGGTGTCGTGGCATGAAAGAAAGCTGCAAAGGGCTAGCTTCTGTTGGTCCTTCACGACTCCCTGGCTGGGTTCCGAGAGATGGTGCGACACAGTGGCCAGAGACGTAATCAGATATGGCTCAGAATAGAAGCCAGTGGCGAACCTGCTGTAACCTTCTACTACTTTCTTCATAAAGAGTGGCTATAACTTTCCTAACTGAAAGAGTCTTCTGGTTGTACATTTCAGTTCCCCCCATCATTACTATTCTCCTTTCTTTTTTTCCTTCTTTTATATATACGCATCTTCTTCCTTCTCCTCCCATTCTCATCATTTTGTGTGGCGCATATGTATCCGTTGCCCTTTGTACCAATATATATGTGATTAAATAAATAAACCCATACTATATTTTTATATACAATAATATTAACTTGAATCTACTTCTAATAGGAAATAAATCTTTTTGAATTATTTGTCGTGCACATATTATCGTTCTCTTTTACCAGATACCCATAAATATGTTGAATAGTGGGTAAGAATAGAGCAGTGTACAGAATTCTGATACCCATGGATGCAAATTATCTATTCCACTAATGATTTCTATTGTAACAAATGTCCACTAACTAACACTACGGTGATTATCACAGATTATTGGGCTTTTTTGTAACGAAATCGGCAAAGTAAACGTAATGCAAGTAGATGGAAAAGAAAATGTGATTATTAGAAGTGAATCAAAATCTAAGTTTGTGTATGAGTATGAGGTGACGTAGCAAGTAGACTGTGACTACAAAAGGAAAGGAGGGGATAATTTAAGAACTACATATGTATTTCGCCGTTTATTCAACACATGCGAACAAAGTAATTATTCTATTGTATGACACTATATTCTTTAATGTACATCTGTTGAATGGACGAAATATGGAGAGCAGTTTACGTCCAACTATATATGCTGAGTATGTTATTAAGTAATTACAGAATAATAACATATCAAATACTTGAATTGTATTCATGAATGATACGTTTTTAAGATGAAGTAATTTAATAACACGAAATAATTATGCTTAGATGACGCATAAGGTTTTACTGTTCACAACTAAAATTACACTTACTTCTGTTAAACAAACAAACCGAGCGCCTATCAAACAAGATCCATAGAGTCTGAAAAAATAAGAAAGGAATTGGTGTTTTGAATGTTTTACTTTTAATGAAGAAAGGAATAGAAATAGTAGCAACCAATTAAACTGAAACTTTTATCCTTTGAAATTAAGTTTAAGTCTTTTAGTATACCAGTTCGTAAAAACTGACATTTGATGTATTTACTTTTTGTGAGACTTAACTGAGACAAAGTGATGCTTATTACAGGAAATCAACATTCGAAGAGCAATCATTGCCAGACTAGTCTAGTATTGTGTTGTTTGATACTCCGTCATAAAATCAATAGACAAAAAACATAGAGAACTCAGAAGGTGACGGATAAATTTCAAAGTAACTGTCGTAAAAATATAGAGACTAACATTTTTTGGTCAAACTACACTTTTAGCAAGCAGGCCACAAGGCTGATTGTGAGACACGAATATTATATAACCACTAAACAAAATGATTTTCGACATCGACTTTTCCACCCCCCGTTATCTTGTGATTGTAAAGGTAATTAAATTTGCTAATAACAAACAAAGTGATTGCAATAATAGTAATAATGAAAATCATATAATACTAAGTGATAAGTAGACAACCGAAGAGTATTAGTAAACGAAGAATTAACCCAAACTACAATTTTTTAGTGACAGATATTATAACCAGTATATTAATTTTTAACGTTTGCTGTATATCGATGGTTCGTGTAGGGATTTGGTGCCCCCAAATACCCTGGTACGACCGAGAGTGGAGAGAGTCAACTCTCCCTCAAGAAATGCTCTCATGTGGCCACGCGTATATAGCCTCTGTCAGGGAAGTCCTACTCACTGCCTCATCGTGGCGAGGGTGTTGTTTACGAAACTGAGAGGACGAAAAGCGAATTTCCGGCGATATAACCGGGTTGGTGGATATGAAGGATCCACCTAGGGGAGTTGGAAAACCCTGATTCCAAACCAATGGTGCACATGGGCTCCCGTATCCTAAAGGAACAAATGGCGAATGAACCAGTTATTGGTCACCGGCTACCATGAGACCACATCTCCTCACGATGCTCCACTGCTTTGTGGACCAGACCTTTAGGTCAAAGGCTCGGGGTGTGGCCCCCCAAAAAACTACCGGCTTCGGTCTGGGCACCCGAGCAATATCACAGCCCCTACACAAATCAATGAAATGATGATTCCTACTGTCAATCCTATTCACGCTCTTACTTAATGCCAGACACTACATTATTATTATTATTATTATTATCATTATTATTTTTACCATGTCGCTAATTCACCCCCTTTTATTACCAATTTGTTTATCTTTACTTTCCAACTTATGCAGCAGCTCGCCCATGATGGAAACTATGTCCTATCTAAACGATCTCCAGTCACTGTTTGGTTGAAAGTGAATGCTTCCACCGATTATGAATACTGAACCAGTCTTTCTGAAACCACGTACGCCCTTCACGCTGGCTTCCTTCAACGTTCGCACACTAATGCAGATCAGACAACAGATAGGGCTGGCTATGTCTTTGGAAGGTCTTAATGTTGACGCTTGTTGTCTATCCGAGACCCGGATTCAAGACTCTAGTGAAGTACTACAAATCCGCTCTCCATCTGTCGCCTCGAAAAGCTTGTTTCACGTGCGTTTATCCGGGGACCCTGTAGCATCTTTATCTGGTCTTGCTGGTGTTGGTGTCGCACTAAGCGCTAGAGCTGAGGCAGCACTAATCGATTGGATCCCCATTGACAGTCGGTTATGTGCTGTTAGATTAGAAAGTTCCATCAAAGTGAGAAATCGGCGTGAGAAACGATGTCTTTTTGTCATCTCCGCCTATGCCCCGACAGATTGCAGCCCGGATGCAATCAAGGATGAAGTCGACCACCAGTTAACTGTTCTCCAGAAAGCGCGTTCGACAGATATTGTAGTACTAGCCGGAGACTTGAATGCACAGGTCGGGCGTCTAGGCACAGAAGAGAGTCGTTTAGGTGGCCGATGGGGACTTGTTGGTCGCAGGACAGATAAAGGAGACCGTCTACTGCAACTGTGCACAGACTACAACCTGTTTCTGGCTAGCACTAACTTCCGGCACAGTCATCGCCGGTGTGCCACCTGGCGTCCTCCCTCTGCATCCCAAGCCTGGACTCAGATTGATCACATTGCGATCAGCTACCGCTGGCGTGGTTGTGTACAAGACTGCCGCTCCTTTTGGAGTACCTATCTGGAGTTTGATCATGCCCTGGTCTGCGCCAATCTTAACTTACTTTTCAGTGGCCAACAAATTGACCGTCATCAACGGATTGATGTTAGTAAATTGGTTGCAACTTCTGTTGTAAGTAAGTATCGAACCGAGCTAGCTTCTAGGCTAGCTACCATCCCACCGAAAAGTATAGATGAGCATTGGTTGCAACTGCATGACGCCATGAAAATGGCGAGTAAAGTCGCTTGCGGCTTCACGAAACGTCCCGCTTATAAGCACTGGGTTTCTTCTGGCTTCTTACAACTGACCGAAGCCCGTTGGTCTACTCCGGGTGACCGTGAGTTTCACCACAAACGAAGGCTATTACGCAACGGAACTGGGCAAAGCTTGCGTAAGGACCGAGAAGCCTGGTGGTCGGAGCGTGCTAATGAGATGGAAGCAGCAGCTGCATCTGGTAACTATCGGAAGCTCTTCCAACTCATCCGAGCCACTGGCAGCAAGAAGTCTGGTGTGAGTGAAACAATCTACGAGGATGATGGGATGCCAATCACTAACATCTGTCGACGTCTTGGACGATGGGCGGAATTTTTCGAAGGGCAGTTCAATTGGCCTGCTGCTCCGGCAACATCCACCAGATTGTCCTGCCCCCCATAGCTGGTGACGACTGACCCACCAAACGAGGCGGAAGTTCGCAAGGAACTCCAACTCTTGAAACGCTACAAATCACCGGGCCCAGATGACTTACCTCCAGCTCTTTTTAAAGATGGTGGTGACTTTCTGACTAAGGAATTGACTGTGTTGTTCGCAAAGGTTTGGAAACAAGAAAGTTTTCCAACATCATGGAATGAGTCGATAGTCGTCCCTATCTTTAAAAAGGGTTCGCGTTGTTCCTGCAATAACTATCGGGGGATAAGTCTACTTCCGATTGCGTACAAACTATTGGCCTCTATCATTCTTCGTAGGTTGTTTAAAACCCGAGAATGATTGACTCGCGAGGAGCAGGCTGGTTTTCGTTCTGGTAGAGAATGCATTGATCACATCTTCACCCTCCGCCAAATCTTGGAACACCGTCATACTTATCGCAGGCCAACAATCGTAGTGTTTCTCGATATCAGGGCTGCCTTCGATTCGTTGGACAGGACCGTTCTCTGGGATTGTCTATTGAAGAAGGGTGTGCCTGAGAAGTTCATTAACATCTTAAAGGCTCTGTATACGAACACCTCAGGCAGAGTGAGGGCATACAACCACCTTTCTCCCTTGTTCAATTCAAGCAAAGGGGTTAGGCAGGGTTGCCCAATCTCACCATTCCTCTTCAAATTTGCCATCGACGACATTCTGGAAACAGCTCTGATGGGTGTAAGTGATGGCGGTGTGGATCTGCTACCTGAAGAACGACTTCTCGACCTTGAGTATGCGGATGATATTGTCTTACTGTGCGATATTGCCCAAGACATGCAATCCGCACTTAACCAGTTGGGAATCAGTGTCCGCAGGTACGGCATGTGCTTCGCACCCTCCAAGTGCAAGGTACTCCTACAAGACTGGCAGGATTCTCATCCCGTGCTCACCCTAGATGGTGAACAGATTGAAGTAGTTGAGAAGTTCGGGTATCTAGGTGGCTACATAAGTGCTGGTGGTGGCGTGAGTGATGAGATCGATGCACGTATAGTGAAAGCCAGAGCAGCTTACGCCAATCTGGGCCATCTTTGGCGCCTTCATGATGTTAGTCTGGCTGTAAAAGGTCGGATCTACAACGCGTCGATGAGAGCAGTTTTGCTCTATGCTTTTGAAACCTGTCCTCTCCAAGTTGAGGACGTTAGACGACTCTCTGTGTTTGATCATCGTTGTCTCCGAAGGATTGCTGACATACAGTGGCAACACCATGTTAGTAATGCAGAGGTTCCGACTCTGGGACTGGTTGGAAAAAGGGGAGAGGAGGTCAATATATGACATGGTGTCGTGGCATGAAAGAAAGCTGCAAAGGGCTAGCTTCTGTTGGTCCTTCACGACTCCCTGGCTGGGTTCCGAGAGATGGTGCGACACAGTGGCCAGAGACGTAATCAGATATGGCTCAGAATAGAAGCCAGTGGCGAACCTGCTGTAACCTTCTTCTACTTTCTTCATAAAGAGTGGCTATAACTTTCCTAACTGAAAGAGTCTTCTGGTTGTACATTTCAGTTTTTTTCGTTCTATTATATATATATATATATATATATATATATATATATATATATACATATATATAGATGTATCTTACCCCTTTCTTTTCCCATTCTCATTGTTTTTTGTGGCGCATATATATCTGGTGCCCCTTTGTACCAATATGTATGTGTTTAAATAAATAAGTATGGATTTGGCATTGGTAATTATTACCAGACGGAAAACCTACGATGAGATATCTCAAACACATTTCAGTTGTATATTCCTAATTTTCACCATTTTAGTATAACCCATCATAGATATGTGAAGCACATTTAGAATATGAATACTCTACACTAATCACTGTGAATTCTTGTCAGAAAGCGTATGGACGCGAGGAGTTTCTACGTGATGCAAACCTATCATAATAGGGAGGAATAGCATAAAACAAACAAAGAAACAATAAACCAGTGTTGCAACAAGCTAATTATTTTAGGGTATGGACACTAAGCATGTCTGTGATAGTTTATATTATCCAACTGTTGTATAAGGATATATATGTATTTATATGATTAATTTAAAAGTTATGAACCAAAATAATGAACGGAGGGTAACAAACCTCAGGACATTGATATGATTTAAAGAACCCAGAAGTTCGATTTCTCGATGGCGAAAAGACGCTTCATTAGCCAACTTCATAGCCATAAGCCTTTTAGTTGGACGATGACTTACCTTAATTTATTATAATAAAACATTTTAGATTGATTACCAAAAATACTGAGCCGAAATAGCCGCTTCCTAGTTTTCCTTTAATCACGATATCTTCACAGCAATATAAATGAGTAACTGCTTTCTGAATGGCTTGTGCAGAATTTGTTGGGACGAAATCAATGTAGTATTTTCTGTCTGTTGAATTTTCAGAATCTACCATGACAAGGACTCAGTCAAGGTTGATGAAAGTTAGGATTGAATATATCTGTAAAATGGTATTTGATAAAAACGTGGTCACTGGAGGAAAACTAAACAAGAAAAATATCTTAGAGTAGGATGTCTAATTAGGTGAGATTCCTAAGTATGAACATTTGAGAATCACTAGATAAAAAACATCAATAGAAAAAACAATGTCTGTATCCGTGAGGTCGGCAGCAAATTATCTGCGCTATGCCTAGCAGAAAAACGTACAAACCTTGAACAGCCTACGATGTGAACGGTTTGATGTGACGAATCTAACCTTGTATTTTTTTCTAAAGCTATATACGGGTCTGATTTTCGGTGCTAGATACAGGTCTTTAAATTGATCCCTATGTCTGCATTCGCTCCACATGAAAGTCATTAAGACTCAGAATAACTCATTCTTTAGGTAGTAGTACCAACTTAGTGATAAGATTACTTTATTGTTTGAAACACTCAACAAGAGATTGTTACTACTATTTAATTATCAAGCAAGACGTTCGAAAAATATTCTACCTATATGTTCAAGACTTGCCATCCAAATCATGTGCTACTCTTAAGACAACGAAATGACGACTGTAACGAACACTTAAGATTTGTTCAGAAAGGGGAGTTCATAAGATCGGGAAAATTCTGATGTGAAGAATTTGATACGTAGGGACTATGGTGTAATGAATATACTGCTTCGCATGTAATTAGTTCACCAAAACTGCGTTCAAAAGTTGGATGACAAGCTACATAAATGGAGGTCTGAGCCTGGAGTAGAATGTTACTCAAAAACGATTAATTTACATAGTCGTTAAACGATTCGATGGCAAGGTCACTGGTGAGATTGATCAAGAGGATAGACAACTAGTCGATGGAGCCGAATATTATGGTCATAAACTAATAATTCGCCAATTACGAAGTCCTAAATCACTGTCCACTCAAGTGGTCGTGGTCATTTGGTCGGAATAAAGTCAAAATACGGATTACTGTAATTAGTCTTATTAAAAACGTTCTAGTCTAAAATATAACAGTAATTAAAGAACCTAATAAGCCTGCAGAAGCATCCTAGAAACGCGAGTACTGATGTTATGTGTAACTTGGTTGGATCGCAGAAGCCGCCCTGAGGGTAAATCCCTCAATGATTCTAAAGTGCAGTGGTTCATGTCAAGCTGGTAGGTATGCTGTATCCCGTGAGAAGGTGAAATCTGGGACAGAAAAGAATTGGGAGCAACTATCACAAGCAAAATAAAAGCAAACTTGCTAAGGATAAAGACGAAAACAGTGTAAATAAATCAGAAATATCGATGTTTCACCCTTACGTCGAGTATTTTGGGGAATTCGTTCACAAGTTTATATAATGCGCCACATCAAAATATCCCGCTTACTTTACATAAATTTTCATAAACCTCTCAAAAACAACGTTTTGTTTTAATAACAGAGGTAAAACATATTTAGATTTATGTAGACAGTGGAACTTTTCTGATATTTATACATTAAACTTTGTTATTTGTTTAACAGAACTATTCAGACGCTCCACATGCCAGTCCCGAATAGCTTACTCCGGGCCAGTCAATTTCGTGCTCTCTGTTTTCAAATATTATCCATAATTTTCTCGTTTTTTATACGATAAATCAAGTAGAAGTCAATGAGGGTGTTGTTAGGTGCAGGGCGACAATGAACTTGTCAGGCGTCCCTGGTTGTAATATATCGACATATAACCGAAGGTGGAATAAATTGCGAACGATGTTCGTGAGAAGAACACAGCATTCTTTCGTCTAGTCAACTCCACAGTGTAAGTACGATCAACAGTAATTGACTGTAGCACTGTGTTCATAGCAGTAAACACTCAAAAGCCTGTTTCATTAGTAATGTTCTTGACAGGTACTGCTTCTGGTCACCGTAACGGTCTATACACGTTAAGGGGTTATAGTATCCATTCGAACCTTGAAAGGGTCCTATCAATTCAAGATGATCTTGGTTGGAACAGAAGTTGGGGGTTACAAAGGGGCCCAAGGGACGTGAGTTGTGTCTAATCATCTGAGATTTCTGCTACTTCACACAGGAGCATGCCCACTCCCTCACGTATTGATGACGTTGCAGTGATAATGCTTCGGCACGATTGGACGATCGCAACCTGTTTCTATCTGCTTGATCCGTAATTTCAGGGTTGTCAAATATAACTCGTACTGAAGATCAGCGTCTTCATTTTGAAGCTATATGTTAAGGAAGGTCGATTCCTTGGATACTGTTCAAAGACGTTTCATGAGACAAGGCATCTTTAAATACACTATTTACACTGGAAATATGTTGTATATCTGAAATTAATTTTGGAATGTAGTCTAGACACTCGGGATTACTTGTCTGAAGACGAGCTTAGAGGAAAAGTAAGAGGTTTGTGGTCTGTAAATAACGTGGGTTCTCAGACTTCCGTTGAATGCTGAAATGTCCTCACAGCACAGTACATGGCTAAGAGTTCCTTGCCGAAATTCTATACTTCGATTCACCGTATCAAAACCGTCTCAAAATGAATGTCAAAAGTTGCCAGGTTTTGTTTACCCATCGTTGTAAGACTTCTCTGATTGCTGAGCCGTATGCGTCTACGAGGACTTTGATCTCCTGATGTGCGAGCACAGTTGCTTCAGCCATAATTTCTTTGATCGCGGAAAATGCTTTTTTCACTTTACCTTTCTAACTGAGGTGTTCAGTATTTCAACAAAAATTGTCTGTTAAGGATCTCATGAGAGACGTACGATTCGGTATGAATAGAGTCTTACCAAGCCGTTGAGCGTGCATAGTTGCTTGACCGTAGTTCATTCTGAATAATCCACAATGGTTGCCACATTGCTTTTTAGAGGGCGCGTTCCTTGAGCATCAGTGGTGTGTCCGCGAAAGTCCCAAAGGTTTGTTCCGATCTGACATTTCGGAATTTAAAAAAGTAATTGCACGTTTTGGCATCGTTCGAAAACTAAATCCAGTTGTTGAAGATGGTGTTCTCAGTCCCGGCTTGTGACCACCTATATAGGCGTATGGAAAGTTGAGACCTCAAAAGATGTCCTTATTAATCACTAGAACGTTTGTGGAGTATTCTTCGAAATGAAAGTCTTGAGCAAAAATTCGTAGAGTTCGAAGTGAGTGATGATAGCCTGGTTAGAAATGTCTACAGCCATGACAATTTGAATAAATCTTTTGATCAAGTAGATTTTCGAAAAAAACAGTTGTACCTCCTATAGTACCTGTCAAATCGTGAATGTGAGAAAACGGGTAACGATCGAGGGTCGTTTTCTTATTCAGTCGACAACGGTCACCAGTTTGACGTCAGTCATTGCTGTCTGTTTTCAAGACCATATATAAGAGAGATATCCATGAGTTGTTCAATGGCCGAATAATAATACCACATCCTGAGATTAATTTTCTGCTAACTTTGGCTTTTCGAGGGTTAGTAGGCGTGCTTTCGAGAATACGGGTGGTCCTGCTGTTGTGATGATGTATGTAGCACCGTTGGTTACGCATAGTAATTTTGATCGTAATCTTTCACAATTTGGGTACTTGTCGAGTATCCGTTGGATGTATGGGTTGACTATATGCTTATCAACGACTTGCTATAATCTGAAACAAGACTACAAAGTTCATCAAACTGACAACTTTGTACTTCCGTTTACTAACCTCCCTTTGCTTGAGTCAATAAGTATACCGTGGTATTGTAGCGTGTCTATACCAGCGACTGGCACAAAACAGCATCAACAAATTCCAGCTAATGGGTCTGAGTAGGTCTGTGATATAAGTATGCTTATCTTCGCTACTAAAATGATATACTAAGTCCCAAAATTGTAGATTTTCATAATATGTTTAATCAATCCGTAATATCTTACGTCAAAGTCACAACGCTGTCCATACTGACTTGTCCTGTACCGATAGTCAGCAGTATGATGTTAAACATGTTTGGTCTGGGGATATGACAACATATTTGATATAAAAAGGAATAAATTACACAGTGACGAAGCTCGCACGGTCGAGAGATGTCGTTTGGATTTTGTTTTCCAGAGTTCACTGTTTTTGACCTTCTCTAAGTGTTACATGTTGAACTTAAATTCTTTCAGTATCTATGTGTTCAGCTTCAAAGATCGTGTGGTTGGTAACCAACCCCACTGCACTAATCTCTCACCATTATCAACGTGACGTTGGTTAGGTACTGAATCAAGGATTCTTGTCGTACACTGGTGATTACCAAGAGGGTATTGTAAATCTTCTGGTTATTAACAGTCTGAAATATAAGTCGAAACGAAAGAAGTAGCAAGTGATTTTGAAATATATGTCATTATTATCATCATTCCCAAACATCTTATGGATGCATAAGTGTTGTGAAGGAGCCATTTCGGGTTTCTTCGAAAATGCAATAATGCACAGGTTTCAACAATGTCGGCATTGCATTTGCCATATTTTAAGAAGTGAAAAGAAAGAAAAAGGGAAAATATTGATAAAAAATGATAATAAATCAGTTTCTGTGTAATTGAGAAGGATATTGAGTTGAATTAAAAGAAGGGAAGGAATAAACTAAGAACATAGAGATAAAATCAGAAGACAAAGGATAGCAGCAACTACAGTTTATTGTCGAATAACTCAGGTTCGAAAGCTAACAACACCTGAGCGAATATGAACGAGCGAGTGAGCAGCAAGCGAGAGAGCGAGTGAACAGGCGAACAAGCGAAGGAAACGAACGAGGAGCAAGCGAGCGAGCGAATAGCAAGCAATTACATAGGCAATTTATAGTCAAATTTAATAAGGGCACAGCAAAGCAAAACAAAGGCTGATAATAATATTTGCGTGCGTACATATATGGGGAGGAGTATGAGTCATCGAATGGTATTTAAGCAGTCAACATTTCGGATAGAGTGTCATGTGCTCTAGTGGTATAGCAGTGCAAAGAATATGCAAATTGTTACTATCCAAATAACGATGTCTATTAAGTAAGTTATAAAAAAGGGATTAACCGAAATTGGCTATAATCGAAATTGATTGTAGGATGGTTGCTATATTACTCCCCCCTGCAAACAAAGATATATGAAAAAATGTCTGTGTTTGCATAAAGTACAGTAAATTGAATAGCGTAGTTACAATCAATCGTAGATATGGGCTTGTACAAAATTAGAATGAAGTTAATGTGCATTTAGTTCGTGCCCTACCGTTAGGCTATACAAAATAGCGGTAAGATATAGAAGGAATATGGTATCGCTTCGGAAAAAAAATTACAAGTATAAGCGTAAGGGTGTACATAAGCTGTGCCGAGTTTAATAGAGTATAACATGAACTTAGTAATCCATATGTATACAATGAATAGGAAGAATTATAATTAATATTCAAAGTAGCAGAAAATTATCAGTAAAAGATTGTAGCGACATAGCGTTGCGGCCATCTTACTCTGCGACAAGATCTTGTCGTTATCGGAGTCTCTTCTTTTTGGTGCGTTAGCGTCGTTGACTCCTGAGATTCGTGTTTCGTCGGTGTGATCGTCTTCGAGAGGTTTGTGCTTGTCGATTGAAAATTGCTATCGATGAAATCTGGCTTCACTCGATCGATACTGATTACGTCTGTCTTCCCAGCTTTTTCTACCGTGACTGTCATATCTGTCTTCGTAATCACTTTAAATGGACCTTCATAGTTCGGCTGCAGAGGTGGTTGTACGTTGTCTCTTCTGATAAATACGTGCGTGCTATTATGTAGTTACTGAGGTACGAATACTCATCGTTGTTGTAGTCTGGGAAGTGCTATTTTTAAATCGCTCATGTGTTTCTTCAGGCGTTGAACGTAGTTGGCTACATCAGTCGGAACACTTTTACCTGAAGCGAAAAATTCTCCTGGTAAACGTAAAGTAGTTCCATATACCAACTTGGCTGGACAACATCCCATCCTGTTTAATTATTGTTCTTAAACCTAACATGACTAAAGGAAGCTTATTAGCCCAATCGTTATTGACAATGACAGATGTAAGGGATGCTTTCAACTGCCTATGTCGGCGTTCAACCATTCCGTTTGCCATTGGATGATAGGATGTTGTTCGTATACGTTTAATTCCGAGGAGTTCTGTAAGCTGCTGGAAGAGTCGACTTTCGAATTGAGCTCTTCTATCGGTCGTGATAATTGCCGGTATACCATAGTAAGAAATCCAATTTTCGATAAGGTCTTTTGCTACAGACTCGGCTGAGGTGTCTTTTATTGGTACCGCTACAGGCCATCGGGTAAATCTATCGATGCATGTAAAAATATAGTTGTACCCGTTCGAAACTGGCAGTGGTCCTACAATATCGATGTGTATATGCTCAAATCGAGTGTCTGGTTGCGAAAATGAACCCATTGGTGAACTAGTATGACGATGTACTTTGGC